GCAGGTTAAGAAAGAAAAAAAAAAGACGCAACCAAAATGTTCCAAAAAAATAAAACACGGTCAAAAAAGGATCACAACAGCAAATCCTATAGACAGCACTGCGATGTAGGCACACCTCTCACCACGTAAGCAGACAACTCGATGAAAAGCCGATATCTAGTGCAGCTTTGCTGCTTACTTTATATAGAGGGAGCACATGTCACATGGTACAATGACGCGAGCTTTCCTTTCCATACCTGACCAATCATGGAAGGGGGGGGCAATCATCGCGAGCCAATCAGCGCGAGGATTCACTAATTGGATGGGTGGCGCTTCCTGTACGCGCGTTAATAAGCCGAGCCACGCGCGCTGACGCCTCATGAATGCAATCACGGATCCGTTATGAGTCTGTTGAGAGTCCATTGAGAGAGCTCACGTCACGTGACATAATTATGCTCGCGTGCTTCTGACCATTTTCCCCTCCAGGCCAATCATCACGAGCCAATCACCGCGAGGATTCGCTCATTGCACGGGTGGCAGTTCCGCGCACGCGCGCCCATTGTGTGAGGCGCCGTTCATGAGCCGAGCTACTGGCACGCGCCTCGTTCATGCAATCACGGTCCCGATACCAGGCCGTGAGAGTCAATTGAGTTGTGTATTCAAGTGATTTTCAAGTTTATTTTTTTTAACATGACCCACACGTAAATTGTCATCGCCATCTAGAACTTCACTGTGTTGATAAGTGACGTATTACTGGTAGGAACGAAGTGGACCAGACCACCAATAGATTAATGTGTCCGTCCGTCCGTGTATCAACATCGCCCCCTACTGCAAACACTTGGCATGACCTTACAAAAACCTTTAGACTCAGTGACGCTATCCTGTCTAAACAAGTGTAACATTCCGTTATAATTCCCTCAGATAGCTTTTAATTAAAACATTTAAATTAATGAGGCTTCCCTGGCTAAACACGTGTAACATTCCCTTATAATTCCCTGAGATGGCTTTTAATTAAAACTTTGAAATTAAATAAAAAAACTCACAGCGCCCTAAAGCCTAAAGCTAGGCCTAAAGCCTAGAACTAGGCCTGAAACTCTCCCTTCGTATCGTACCCCCGCGTGTGTGAAAGGGAGTTATGTTTAACAATGTTACATTCCCTCATGTTTTTAAATAGAAACATTTAAATTTAAAGCTTTTACATAAATCATTAAAACATTTAAATTAAAAATTAACTCACAGCGCCCTAAAGCCTACAGCTAGGCCTAAAGCCTAGAACTAGGCCTCAAGCTCTCCCTTCGTATCGTCCGATTTGGTGTAGCAACATCGCCCCCTACTGCAAACACTTGGCAGGACCCTACAAAAACCTTTTGACTCAGTGGGGCTTTCCTGGCTTAACAAGTGTAATAATACATTATGTTTATTATCTTTGGTTATTCGTTCCTACCAGCCCACCCCGCAGGGTCCTGTTATGTGTAGACATTTGAACTGTACGTAGCTCTGGTCACTTGATATCGTAACTAGTCTAACACGTAGGCTTTCGCGACCAATGTCCATAATGCATGTTTATTTTTTTGGAGAAACAACCATTTGAGAATCCAATCATAACCATCACTTTACCATACATAACAGCTGTTAACAAAAACATTTCCCAAATCTTAAAACAAACACAAAATCCAGGTCTGATTTAATAAAGTACACAAGATCCCATCTGTGAAGGAGGTCATTCCTGACATGCAATACCCTGCCGACCGAGTCTCCCTTGAAAAAAATGCTTCTCAGCTTAATGTGCTTTCCTCGGAAAATAAACATCTGATTCTATTAGAATGTTTTCTGACATCAAATACCTTCAAATGGAACGACACGATTCAAAGCAACGATTGTGAAAGGTGTATCTGTATAGCACGCATTTATTAGACTTACAAGATGAAACTGGTCGCATTTTTTATTTGAAGCGTTCGTGACTGCAGGAATCCCATACTCTTTGGTTCTTTCGATAAAGTCACGTAAATAGAAAATGAAATAAATCACGACGTTTCGGGCGCAACACAATCGTCTGCTTCTGTTCCTATGATCCGTGTAGGTCGACTGCAGCCAAGTGCCTGGATTGCCTGTTGGAGCTTTGCTTTTTCGAAGAAAAAATGTATTTGTCCTGCTTGTCACAAATGTAGCGTGTGGCCCACTCGTTCTGCCGCTACTGAATGATGACCTACTGTGGTCGTGAGGGGTGTGGAATGCACCATGCTTCATATCCCACTTGATTGTTGCGGCTTTTCAAATGGGGAGCGAAAGCAACAAATGAAGCTGCGTTTTGCTGCTCCTCTGCCTCGCAGTTCCAAGAGCATGTGCGCACTTGTGCCTAAAGCTTAATTTCTAATTGTTCAGTGGTGGGTTGTGACGTGTGCACTTTTCTCAAATATTGCTATAAAGATATTGCCAAATCCTAAAAGGCATTTGATTGTACTATCTTGGCGTGGAGTTTATTTTGCATACTTACAAAAGTGTAAAATCACATTTATCACGATTAACTTCTAGAAGGTGCCTTCCATTTAAGCTCAGTGGAACAATAAGTTCTGCCAACAGCAAATGGTAAAATACCCACGTCTGTAAAACATTAAAAGGCTAATTTCTTACATGCAACCACAAAGAGAAAATTGCATTGCAGAAGGCTTTTATTGCATAGTCAGCCATAATTATTATTTTTAAAACATTTGATCAAACACGGTACAAAATGCTGCTCTATTTTTCAGTAGCACGGGCGGTCATTTTGGTGTAAGTGAGCCCCTTGTAGACGCCACACAGGGGAACGTCAAAGAGAGCGCCGTTCATGCAGGTGATGCGCAGCAGGGCCGTGTACGGGAGGTCGATGTTTGCACGCCCGATGTTGGCGACAAAGTTGTGTTCGTGAACGCGACAAAGTTGTGTTCGTGAACACAACTTTTTTAATCTCCTCCATCTGCACGTTGTGTTGACAGGTGGCTTATCTATATATATAAAAGCAAAATTTGTGAATATGTGTGTCTGTTCAAAATGTTTAACATACTTCCCGACATGCAACAAACTTGAAATTTGGCAAGTGGGTAGCTTCCAGACTGTACACAATGCTAAAAGTATAGAAATAGACTTTTGTATTTTGGTGGGCGTGGGGGGCGCAATAATGGATATATTTTGCATGGCAAGTGAACGGTGACGTCACATCTCTATAATGTCACCCGCATGCGGCAGCGTTACGCAGTGTGCCTGCTAACGTCACCCATCCCCCCCACCCTTCCGCGTAGGCCGTATTATAATCCAAGACAAGAATCCAAGTCCCGGGCGAAGCCGGGTAGTAAAGCTATTTAAGTATAAACCGCTCAACTGCACGTGCCTCTGGATACTTAATTTGGGAACTAATTTGTTCAATTGTGAAATGCTTTGATGTTGTCTGACGGCCGAGTCTCCTTTGAAAAGAGCTTCTTAGCTCAATGGGACTTACTCGGAAAATAAACTTCTCATTCTGATATAATGTGTTTTCTGATACCAAACACCTTGAAACGGAATGACATGAGCCAAAACTATGTATTGAGCATGTGTGAACAGTGTGTCCGTATTGCGGGTATTTATTAGACTTCATAATTATTCTTGAAATGACATACTGATGCAAACATTTCCTAAATGTGACACCTCTTTGTTGCTGACAACATGACACCACCAGAAATACTTCATACATTTGCGTCTGAGTGTCTTTGCACAATGTTAGTCTGTGGGTCACTGGTGGAGTCGTTTAGTGTCAATAACGTGGTAAGCCTGAATACCCCCAAAACTGACCCTTTTTTATCATTTGAGCGGACAAATCCTCCCCCATATATTCTGAAAGCTCAGAATCTATATTTATGAAAATGTCTGGAAGACTGGTAACAGATGGAACAATTTCTTTGGCAATACTGCCTTAGTAGTGCACATACACAAACAACAGAAGGCTAATTTTGGGTGAAAATTAAAAAATAAATTTCGATTTAAAGCTTTCGTGACTGCAGGGATTCATCTTCTTGGTTCTTTCGGTAAAGTCACGTAGAAGGGAAATAATAAAATAATAAAAACAAAACATAATAATTCTCACGACGTTTCGGCCACAACGCAAGCAGCCGTCCTCAGGTGAAGAACAGATCTGTCTCTCTTTCCGACAGAATTATTTTATGTTTTATTTTTATTATTTTATTAGTTCCCTTCTACGTGACTTTACCGAAAGAACCAAGAAAATTGAAGAATAATTTTATGTTTTACATGAACTGTAAGTTACTCAATTCAAGCTACTAATAGCTACATTTAAAATGACAAAATCCGCCGGGGACTTTATATCTAATGCAAATTATTATTTAGCTCAAGGCTGTAAAGTGCAGTCGCGGCAGGCGGCATGCGTTCGTCGGGGCCCAGACTTGGGCCCCTGGTCACGTGACCGTTTAATGGCCGGGTCAGCCATTAATCAAAAAAAGCGGTCGCCACGTTTAGTCTCTGTGAATACACGCTACTCCAGCCGAGTAGCAACCCTGGAAACAACAAATGTGAGTAAACCATGTTGTGACTTCCCGTAGACGACTAAACAAGTGTAATGTTGATAATTGGTTCTTTACCCTTCTATCTGGCAACAAAACTGACACCTTTTTACTTCTAGGACAGTGCACATTATCAGAGTTACGTCTTTTGTTTGTATTTATGACTGCAGGTATTGCGGTCTATGCAAACATGACTCCTTGTAAAAAGGTGTCAGTTTTGTTGCCAGATAGAAGGGTAAAGAACCAATTATCATATTTTTACTGGCAAATGAGGTCCCCATAGTGTAAGTGTAATGTTAATATGCCAACGTGACTAGCATTAGAGAGAAAGTTAAAGTATTTCACATGCGCCCCGATATGAGTTCTACTCGCCTCATTTTGTAAATAAAAAAAACAAGAGACTCTACCCGATTTCCCATGTATCCGAGGGGGCGCTTTGTGGGTTATGAAACACCCCCCCCCCCCCCAAAAAAAAAGAGGCCAAACGCCAAGTGCATTAAAGCGAATATTTTTATTTAATTTTAAAAAGCCGCAGGCATATTTAAAACACGCGATATTTAAAACACGCGATAAGCGCTTTGGCTCCTTTTGCGCAAAAGGCCAACGCTGTGTAGCGTGGATAAGAACATTACTTCGGGAAAAAAATACGCGACAAAATGCTCCATCCAACAAAGCTATAGACTAAATTTAACAATTATTCAATGTAAATTGGAAAATAGCTAATCATAGAAGGCGAATTGGACTTATTTTTTACATTTAGAGAAGCTTCTACAATATGTGGTTGTCTCTCGTGGTGTGCCTGGGTTTTCTTGCTGACATAGACATCTGCGAACAAGAGCTTCATAGCTCACAGGATTCATCCTGATAATTGTTTTTTTACCCTTCTATCTGGCAACTTAACTGACACCTTTTTACAAGGAGTCAAGTTTGCATAGACCACAATACCTGCAGCCATAATGCATACAAAAATATAACTGATAATATATGAAATGTCCTTGAAGTTGATTGGTCCATACCCGAGACAGCTTTCCTTAGAGCCTAGTATCACATGGGTTTGACCAGATGACGCCAAAAGGTGCACAACTCAAAGACAATGCACCATCAGAGTATCTGGGTAAGCATTTACACCATTGGAACCTCATTTGCCAGTAAAAAATATGATAATTGTTTTTTACCCTTCTATCTGGCAACAAAACAGACAATTATCATATTTTTTACTGGCAAATGAGGTTCCAATGGTGTAAAAGGATTCATCCTCCCTCCTACTCTTCCCTACTCCCTTCCTCTCCCTCCTTCCTCCTGCAGTCGAAAAAAGATGGGGATTTTTGGAAACTGGGTAGTGTTAGTCCATGGGCAGTGTTGAATCTACATGGACAGTGTTAGTCTATTGGCAGTGTTGAATCTATATGGGTAGTGTTAGTCCATGGGCAGTGTTGAATCTACATGGGCAGTGTTAGTCTATTGGCAGTGTTGAATCTATATGGGTAGTGTTAGTCTATTGGCAGTGTTGAATCTATATGGGCAGTGTTAGTCTATTGGCAGTGTTGAATCTATATGGGTAGTGTTAGTCTATGGGCAGTGTTGAATCTATATGGGTAGTGTTAGTCTATTGGCAGTGTTGAATCTATATGGGTAGTGTTAGTCTATAGGCAGTGTTGAATCTATATGGGTAGTGTTAGTCTATGGGCAGTGTTGAATCTATAAGGGCAATGTTAGTCTATTGGCAGTGTTGAATCTATATGGGTAGTGTTAGTCTATGGGCAGTGTTGAATCTATAATGGCAATGTTAGTCTATTGGCAGTGTTGAATCTATATGGGTAGTGTTAGTCTATGGGCAGTGTTGAATCTATATGGGTAGTGTTAGTCTATGGGCAGTGTTGAATCTATATGGGTAGTGTTAGTCTATTGGCAGTGTTGAATCTATATGGGCAGTGTTAGTCTATTGGCAGTGTTGAATCTATATGGGCAGTGTTAGTCTATTGGCAGTGTTGCATCTATATGGGCAGTGTTAGTCTATGGGCAGTGTTGAATCTATATGGGCAATGTTAGTCTATTGGCAGTGTTGAATCTATATGGGTAGTGTTAGTCTATGGGCAGTGTTGAATCTATATGGGCAATGTTAGTCTACTGGCAGTGTTGAATCTATATGGGTAGTGTTAGTCTATGGGCAGTGTTGAATCTATATGGGTAGTGTTAGTCTATGGGCTGTGTTGAATCTATATGGGTATTGTTAGTCTATGGGCGGTGTTGAATCTATATGAGTATTGTTAGTGTATGGCAGTGATCGCTGAGTCTGTACATGCGAACAAACATCCGGCGGTATAACTGGTCAGTGAGCAGTTGCTTGACCTATAGCTGCAGCGTGCTGGGCCCACCTGCGTGTGGACATGTCCCGATGCTCAGCAACAGCTCCCTCTGCTCTGAGGTTAACGGAGCAGCCGGGTAGCTGGCTCAAGGAAACCCAACATCGAAGTCTCCCAGCTACCTATCCTGGCCTCCCGGCAAGAGACCGGGGGAACACAACTGCCAAGAATTCCCCCACGAGTGACACGACCAAGTACATCTTCATGCCGCATTGCCAGTTGCGCGGGTCAACAAGGAGCGCAAAGTCTGGTTTTCACCAGCCAGCTGTGACGAGTGCGCTACACTAGCCCTGGAGATCATGCATCGTGAAACCATCCCATTTGGCCTGGAAATAAACTGGAGCTAAAAAACTAAGAATACAGACCACTGATGAACCTTCACACAGATTGCCTGAGGTTACAAATAGCGGGCAACAACGTTAAATTGGTAAAATCGTTCATCTATCTCGGCTGCACTATTCAACGAGATGGAACTTGAAAGGAGAATCTCGATTGCACGCGAGTGCATGAAACAGCTCGACGGACACATCTTGCGCTCCAGTATTACGACAGCAACACATATTCGACTTACACAATGCATCCCTTACAACTGTACAGCTCAGAGACGTGGTCAATGACGGCGTCCCTGAGCAGGGAAGCTGGATGCCTTCGACCAGTGGGTGCCTGCGATGGACACTCCGTGTCCACTTCAGTGAATGCATCGCCAATGCTGGAGTCCGCCTTCGCACGGGATGACCAGCAGTGCATGAAACGGTCAGAGCCAGAAGACTTCAGGCTCTGTGGACACACTGCTCGGGCGTATCACGCCAGGGCCCTTCGCGCAATCATCGATGGCCCACTGCTGGACTTGAGGCGCACCCGGGGCAGACCACGGCTGACGGGGACATGCACAATCGAGGCTGATCTTCGACACCACGGCTTTGGCTCGCGTTCAGCGTGGCGGCTGGCACAGGATAGGATTGCGTGGTGGCGGCTCGTGGGGACTGCTACGCCCCGAGGGGCATGCACAGGATGATGATGATGGGGCTTGGAGCGGGGGGGAAGGAGAAAGGTTGTCTACGTCTAACGCAAGTCGATGCACGTCACCGATCCGTCGTGCAGGTGGACCGCGAAACACAGGGGCCTGGCGAAATTGGCGTGGAATGAGTGGAACAGCCGCCTGGGCTCGGCGATGTAGAATGCCACTACACCCTCGTCGCAGTTCACGTAGACGCCCACCCTCTGTGGAGCCTCGTGCACCACGTGGCACACCGCCAGCCTCCCGTGCATCGCGATGCACCTGGCGCCGTCCTTGCGCAGCGCCCAGGAGTCGCGGTTGCAGCCCAGCGCGCAGCCGAGCTCCGCCCCCTTCCGCGAGATCGTCTCGTAGGCCACGCCCACCCGGCAGTCCCACGAATTGCTCACGTCCACCTCCCAGTAGTGCTGACCCGTCGAGAAATAGTTGGAGCACAGCGCCTGGTGCCAGTGGTCGAACCTGCCTTCGTGCGCTCGGCACGGTTGAGCCTCTTCCGTCTTCGTCGCCATCTTCAGGTCTTCGGAGATCAAGAGGTTTGGATGGGCGGTGCTTTTGTTGAACGTTATTGAGCAGCCATCTGTCAGCATAGACACATTACTTGTTTGTTAGATCGTTTTCTCTTCACGCGTGTGTTATATATATGTGTGTGTAGAGGCAGACTTCGTTTAGTGTGACCCTGTGTAAAGCTGATTCGTTATAGCACTCTTTTGTCATTGATATTATTTTTTACAAACCAAAACAATAAAAAACGAACTATCATAAAAAAACTCTTACGAGTGAAAACACGCAGTGGCAGCACTGGCCGAGCAAACGTTCCCACCCCCATCATTCGCTCGGCCAATGAGAGAGCGGCGCACTCTTGACAACCAACCAGATCTCACCTCACTCCCCCACCACAATTCGATCATGAAAATTCGTGGTCACGATTATTATTATTTTAAATATATAAAAATCTATTTTTCTTTCCGTTTCAACATTAACCAGGGCGAATTTGTTCCATTGAAGGGGGGCGGGCAAGAAGAGAAAGAGAGAACGAAAGCATGGATTAAGCGCAAGGAAAAACAGAGAGACAACAAAGATTGAGAATGTAGAGAGGGAGCGAGAACGCAACGCGTGGAGAGATGGCAAGATACGGGCGGGGCAAGACCACGGAGGGATGTGTAGACCCCCCCCCCCCCCTCCACGGGTCAGCTCAGCGCAGCTTTACTTATGTAGGGGTGTCGGGAAGGTTTCCCACCAATAGGAGGGTTAGTGGGAGGGGTAATCGAGGAGATATAAGGGGAGAACGGGCAGGAAGAGGGGGCTTTTAGCGGGAACGAGATTGGGACGGCTGGGGACAGGTGTGGAGAAGAGGAAATGATTAAAAGACGAACCCCCCTGCAATCTTGTGTCGGCTCTCCTTTACACTTACATCGAGAGGCGAGCGCTTGCATGGCCGACGCCTGCTCCCTCATGATGCCGGAGAACATGTCCAGGAGCTTCTGCGCACTTGCCTCCCCTCTCTCCACGACGGTCTGCAGGATGTAGTCGGTGCGCCGCCACACGTTGGACTGCGCGGCCGCCACGTCGCGCGCTTCTTCCGTGATGATGCCCTGGCCGCACAGCCTCTCCGTGAACAGCTGAGGACCCAGGTCGATGCATTCCCGGAGCTGCGGCAGGTTTTCGCCCATCGCTTTCCACACCGCCGCCTCGCTCGCGTCGATCTTGCCCTCTATGATTTCCTTAACGTTCTTCGGTGTTTCGAGTTCGTACCGCAGCATTGGGGGGGGGGGGGGGGGGTCAGACAGCATTCAATAATAGTTCAAGGCACTGTATAGGCATCGCACATTGATGCTGCAAATAACCCCAACTTCTTAATCTGCTGCAGTAATCGGAAAAAATCTAGCATAAACCACGACACGCAACAACCAAAATACAAAGATCCCCCATACAGCCAGAACAGACTCTTGGGGTAAGTGCTGTTAGCGAGTAGCACTTATGAAGGCCGCACTGTGGCAACACGAGGCGATTTGGGAGGCCAGCATCACGCCCGGCCGCCTTTGTCTCCTGGGTGGCGATGCTTATTACACACTGCACCAGGTACTCATTTGAGGCCGAGTCGACCTTGGGGGGAGGCCCGGGACCGATTCAGATAATCGCTAAACACTGCTGTTGGCATGCACGTACAGTGCTAATACTTACGTGATCCGGGGGTATAAATACCCACGGGATCCCAAGTTACAGTTAAGAAGACGTCACGGGGGCGTGAGAGAGAGAGGGAACGCACAGGGAGGGGAGCGGTGACGTCACTGTATGAGGCGGGGCGATCGGGGCGGGTTCCTGGAGGGATTAAGGAGCGGAGTGGTCCATCCGCAGCGTGAGCTTGTGCGATGAATAAAGAAGCATGTGTCATCCTTATCTTCGTCTGGTGGACTAATTAAACACGTATCAATATGCTGCATTGGCGATATGTTAACTACCTCGTCGAATCTGACGCCTGCTGTATAGTTTGGAATCTGCATCTCCTCACGTGCCCTCTCTCTGCCCGTCAACGGGACCATGGCCCTCTCGGGCCTGCTTCCCTGCCGTGCCTATGCCTGTGCCAGAGGCACAAGATGCGCAGTTACAGGCTTGTGACCCATAGATGGCGTACACGCCGTAGAGACGCCATTAATGTATTCTAGATTTGAAGCTTTCGTGACTGCAAGGATTCATATTCTTAGGTTTTTTCGGTAAAGTCACGTAGGTAAAACATTAAAATTAATAAAAGTAAAATAAATAAAAAAATAAAAAACGTCGTGATTTTTATTTTTTATTTTATTTTACTTTTATTAATTTTAATGTTTTACCTACGTGACTTTACCGAAAAAACCTAATAATATCTCAATTAATGTCTCTATAAATTTACCCCAGAGAGAAATTCCTTCTTCAGCGGTGGATCCTTTGGCAAAATCTCTTCACATTGCACTTCCGTTTCCATCGGTCTCCCTGTTGGGGGAGGGGGGAATTAAATAAATAAATATATGCACCTTCAGTTTTTTATTTATTCCTTCCAAAAATATATAATTTATTGTGGTGTTTGAACATTTTAACACAACGCCGGTTTTGTTACTGCAACACAGGGTAAAACTAAAATCCTGTTCTTATTATTCCATAATTTATTTTTGAATGTTTTAAATGTATTTACCATATGAAATTGGCGTAAACAATGACACAAATAAACCCCAAAAAATAAACACCCTATTTCAACAAAAGTTAACGCGCTTGCTGTACCGTGCTTACCACTCCAATCTCGAAGTCTCACGAGCCGTGATGCGTACACACATGGGAAGTACTTTCGTTGTTTTGCATTGCATGTAGTGTACAATGTAACGTATGTAATATTTGTCGCCGTGGCGAATCTCGGTACAGGACTTGCATCTTTGTACACAAATGATTCAGCCGGTGCAAGAGTTTGCGGACCAGAGAGACCGTCAAAGCCACCCAGAGTACTCTCGCATGCTCATTGAACTTGCAGTCGATTGCTTTTGCCACAAATATAACTATGTCAGATGCAGCACATATTGACCCTAGCGGCTTCATCAATTAACATGAATGCAGGTTCTGGGGTTCATACGTAATGATATCAGTGTTGAGTGTATGGACAGTGTTGAATCTATATGGGTAGTGTTCGTCTATGGGCAGTGTTGAATCTATATGGGCAGTGTTAGTCTATGGGCAGTGTTGAATATATATGGGCAGTGTTGAGCCTATGGGCAGTGTTGAATCTATATGGGTAGTGTTAGTCTAGGGGCAGTATGTGTGTGTGTATGTTGAACTTCTTTCGCACCACCGTACATGCCAACCGTGTGCCGATCAGAGGTGCAGTGTCGGGTAGTGAAACGGTCACGGATGATGAAATGGCAAATCGGCAATGGACCACACTTACGTCGTTTGCGTTGCTGGTTGCGCCGCTTGCGATAGCAACAGAAGGCGGCAAGCGATGCAAGGACGACAACTACGGTCCCGCCACCGACGGCCCAGAAAATCCAACCGTTCACTCCTAAAATAAAAAAATTAAACAGAACACAGCAGTGATAACAAACACAAATATCATCCCACTCTCTCCCACTCCTCCCGTCCCGTGTAGCCTCTAAGGGACAGTCAGCGGCAAGTGTTGTTAGTAGAGAGTAACACCACCTGTAAAGGCCGGTGATGTGGCACACACAGAGAGGGTGGGTGGCCAACACCACGCCCGGCCGCTTTTGTCGATACTATACACAACACTACTATACACTATACTACTATACATTACTATACACGACACTACTATACACTACACTATACGCTACACTATACACTACACTATTAAACCCTACAGGTAACTCATTTGAGGCTGAGTCGACCAAGGAGATGGCCCAGGACGGGTTCAAACAATCGCTATCACTGGTGTTGGCCATGAGTGGGAATCGAACTCAGGTCTCTGCCGGGTTCGTAGCGCAGCGCTGACCGCTTCACTACCACGAGACGTCAATTCTAAATGTGGAGACAAAAAACCAGGATGACCCCCCCTCCCCGACCAGCAATCGTTATGCAACCACGTGGGGGAGGGAGGGGGGGGAGAGAGGAGATACACAAACTCTCCAAATGTCCGGCAGGCGTCGTCAGTCAGTGTAATGGCCGAACCCACCACCGGAGAACCGTCGCCCACAATCTGCTGTCCTCCTGCAGTGCGGCGGTAGTGGTAGTGGTCGCGTTCCCCCGAAGAACGCCGCGTTATGGTGAAAGATCGCACCGTGAAGTACCAAGGTAAATGACGTACCACTTGAAGCGCGGTCCGCCGTTTAACGAGTGTGATGATGGCGTAACGCGGGGTCTGAGTGAAGGCCGAGGTGCGCGGTGGGTGGCGTCTACTAGAAGCATCCAGCAGCATCCCAGCGCCTCGTGCGATGATGACGAGGATAATGATGACGATGAGGATGATGATGACGACGATTATATTGATGACGATGATGATGTTGATGACGACGATGATGATGACGATGATGACGACGACGATAATGATCATGATGATGATCATACTTGATTTGAAGCTTTCGTGACTGCAGGAATTACTCTTTCGTTCTTTCCGTAAAGTCAAGTAGAAAGAAAATAAATTAAATATTAATTAAAGAAACGAAATTAAATATTATTTAATTTATTTATTTTCTACGTAACTATACCGAAAGAACCAAAGAGATGATGATCATGACGACGACGATGACAACAACGATAATGATGATCACGATGATGACGACGACGACGATGATGATGATCACGATGATGATGATCACGATGATGACGACAACGATGATGACGACGCCACGCCGAGTCAGCCAAACTACAAACCACCGCATGTTCCTAACTTGCACTGCGACGCGGTTCTGTTCACTCGATCGCATTACATATCTTCAATTAGCGTCGCACGTTAAGACAACAAGAAAAAATGTGTTCCCTCGCACAGGGACCCCTCTACTTACGAACATTTGACTTTCAGAGATACGAACAAACCTGGTCTGTTATGTCCAGTTGCCCATTCGGACCGAGGGCTGTAAATTCAACTGCCGCACAACATATGCCGATGGTGGAATCGACATCTTCAGAACGTGAAGAACCAGTGGCACCTACATCTGCATAACGTGAAGAACCAGTAGAATCTACATCTGCAGAATGTGAAGAACCAGTGGCATCTACATCTGTAGAACGTGAAGAACCAGTGGCGTCTACATAACATGAATAACCAGTGGCATCTACATCTGCAGAACGTGAAGAACCAGTGGCATCTACATCTGCAGAACATGAAGAACCAGTGGCGTATACATCTGCATAACGTGAAGAACCAGTGGCATCTACATCTGTAGAACGTGAAGAACCAGTGGCATCTACATCTGCAGAACGTGAAGAACCAGTAGCATCTACATCTGCAGAACGTGAAGAACCAGTGGCGTCTACATCTGCGGAACGTGAAGAACCAGTGGCATCTACATCTGCAGAACGTGAAGAAGTAGTGGCATCTACATCTGCAGAACGTGAAGAACCAGTAGCATCTACATCTGCAGAACGTGAAGAACCAGTGGCGTCTACATCTGCGGAACGTGAAGAACCAGTGGCATCTATGTTTAAAGCCATTCCCCGTGTTTAGTGTAAATGCCGTTACATTGCGTTTGGAATTGACGGGAGTAACTTTGGACTTACGAACATAATCGACTTACAAACACAGACCTCTGGAACCTAACTGGTTCGTAAATAGAGGAGTCCCTGTATAGTGTAGTAGTGTAGTGTTTATAGTAGTGTCGTAGTATATAATGCAGTGTAGGAGTGTATAATGTATAGTAGTGCTTTAGATGCCATGCAGCATGTGAGGAATCGACGGGAGTAAAGTTGCACTTACGAACTGACCTCTGGACGCCAACTCGTTCGTAAGTAAGAGGAGCCCCTGGCAGACATTCATCCAAAAGTCCGCGCCATTAAAAAACCTCCACGGCGGCGTTCACCCGGAGGGACGGAATCGTTGCGCCTCTGACCTGTGCCTTGCTCGCTGCAGGGCCGGTCGGGTTCGAGGCGCCCGTATCCCTCCTTGCACCGGCACACAGTGGCGGTCTCTGCCGTGCATTCGCTTACGACGTCTTCGTCTACACGGCGGTGAGGTGGGGGGGGGAAGAGACCACATGGACAGCCATCCCCAACATTTCCCGTGTACTGTTGGGGCGAGGGTTCCTCACACAGCCCCAGCAGACAGCGCTGCCGCTTCTGTTCCCCTCACAGCCCCAGCTGAGTGAAGTAAATTATTTATATTGCCAATTTGTACCCCTTTTATGGTTATTAATGCCATTGGCCATGATGACCTCTTGACCTTCTCCAATATAAACACTGTTTCATTCCTGTCATGGCTACTCAGGTGGATACTGCGTGAGAGGAGACAGAGCTCACCTCAGTACATGAACTCAAAAAAGTTCCAGAGTCCGTGACCCCAGCCGAGTGAAGTCAATTATTTCTATTGCCAATTTTTACCTCTTTTATGGCATTAATGGCATTGGTCATGATGACCTCTTGACCTTCTCCAATATCAACACTGTTTCATTCCTATTCCTTGTTTTACTGATTTCTGACCTCTTAAACTATATTTTATTTTATTAACTATTTAAATAACCACATTTTTATTTTACCAGGTAAGACAGACTGAATGGTATAGCTGTTTTTCAGACGCGACTTGGCCACAAATGATTGCTCAACGAAGTGGCTTATCACGTGGAATGTATAGCAGCCAAATACTCTGAATTCACGTTTCTAGATGTGGATGAAAAATACAGAGAACCCGGATAAAAATCCAAGTGAAAACTTGGATCTTTCTCCAACATGCAAACTCCAAATATACAGGCGTCAGGGTCGAGATCGAACCCACGTCCTCCTGCATACCAGGAGAGGGGGTTAACATATCGCCACCGTGCAGTGCCGCAGTGGCAAGATATTATATCATTCCTCTTATATCACTCCTTTCTCCAGCTCTTCAATATTCTCTGTCTTTCTAAAGAACTTTTCTCATGTTGAAGAATGCTGTTCGTAGCGAGTGCCTGTTCATCGTGAGTGTTCGTGGCGAGTGCCTGTTCATAGCAAGTGCCTGTTTGTAGCGAGTGCCTGCTCATGGCGAGTGTCTGTTCGTGGCGAGTGCCTGTTCATGGCGAGTGGCTGTTCGTAGCGAGTGGCCACGCCTATGACGGCTGGCACCGGTTTGTGTTGGAGAATTGACTCGATTTGTAAATGTTGCGGTGGGGTTTACTTTCCAACACACAACAACCGGTTTAGCGCTGTACCATTCAACGAATTGGCACCACGTTTTGTTTACGTGACGCAAACCTCCTTACTGATTTGCCGTTTCGGGTGGTGGCGGGTTTAACGACACATTTATATTCACGCGATCTAACACAAAATACCTTCAATTACGGATAAAATTGTCCGCAAAGGCCACCTACTGAGTGTTAAACTCAAAAACGAAATCTGTTCAAGAACGGCCTTCTCTCATTTTAGTTTTATTTTTTCCCAAAAGCCTTGAACTCGCTCATCGTTAACTATTTTACACCCTTTTCCCATGCGTAGCGCCCTGACAACGATTGTTTGAGGGCGCTTTATGAGTTAAAATCATTATTATTATCACTACTACCAGCGGCATTCGAGTCCAAAATGCATTTTGTGGGGAGGCGGTGGTGTTGTAGGGGTTAGCGCTACATTGCGAACCCGGAAGAGATCCTAGTTCCATTCCCGCTCACGGCCACCAACACCAGTGACGATTATCTGAACCGGTCCTGGGCCTCCCCTAGGTCGACTCAGCCTCAAATGAGTACCTGGTGTAGCGGTGTGTAGTAAACATCGCCAGTACTGGGGAGACAAAGCTGGCCGGGCGTGGTACTGGCCACCCACCCCCTCATGTGCCGTGCCGGCATTCATAGGTGCTGCTACTCGCTAACAACACTTGCCCCAACAGTCTGTTAGAGGCTATACGTGGTGGATCTTTGTTACCTGGCGAACAAAGCGCACAGCAGAAGCCGGCCGCCGACTTGTACCGGCCCTGAGTTTGGCACTCATCCTGTGCATCCACACGATGAAGGTTCAACGAGTTAACAACACAACAGTGTGAGGGGGGCGGGGGGTAGCAGTGGCGCAACGGTTAGCACTCCACATTAACACGAAGGCTTTCGTGACCAATATTATTCATAATAAAGATTTTTGGGTCAGATTGCATTATTTATAAATGTGTCGCAACCCTCCACCACCCGACACGGCCAATCACTAAAAAATGTGTCACGATGACAAAAGACAAAATAGTTCACTACTTTAGCCCACCGGTGTGTTGAAGAGTGAATCCACAACATTTACAATTTTTGACTACGACGTTTCGCTGGGCGGGCGGGGGGGACTGTTGCCTAATGAGCCATGCGGTGTGTTTCTTGCCTGATTTGAAGGCGAGGGTTGACCGCAGCTCACATCGGCCATCCGTGATACGATCTGGGCGGCAACAAACGGGAGGGAGGAAGGCAAAGCATCGTCAACGTGCCACAGCAAGTTACGAACGTGTTGGCGGTAACACCCGGTGGCAATTTCATTGTCTTATCTAGGATTTTATGTAAGGCGCTTTTACCAAAGCTTTTACCAAAGCGCCTTATGGGAACTATGATGACGGCACCTGTGGTCATGAGATAACCCTCCGACGACGACCAAAATTCCTCAAATCCCGGGTTCCGATGTCTCGTTTTCTATGTGCACCTGGCCACATCTAAACCTTATGGCGGGTCCCCGGAGTCCCGAATAAACGGAAGTCGAAATCGTGATTAATTAGATAGAAAATTAATAGATCACGATGTTTCGATCGCAAGCAACCTGTTGTGTTTGTCTCACTTGATGACGGTTGCTTTTGTTGCGATCGAAACGTCGTGATCTATTAATTTTATACCTGCGTGACTTTACCGAAAGAACCAAAGAGTATGGATTCCTGCAGTCACGAAAGCTTCAAATCAAGATCGTAATTAATTTATTTATTTTTGGCGACTCCATCCCCACCGCGCACACAAACGCCGTGATCATTCTGTTGTCACGTCGTCCAAGCGCAGCGAGGACGAATGCCACAGTGATAAACAAAACTTTTAAACTTTGATTGGCGCATCGCGAATAGACTGCCTTCAACGGACATAAAATGAAGTCGCAAACGCAGTTCACGCGAGAGTCGGGGGCTTATGGGACCCCGGAGATACGCCCCAAGCTTTGTCGCTCCCCCAGCCCTACTCTGCCTTCCTCCATCGGCTCAACTGTCCGGCCACCAGACCTCTGCTCCCCTACCACCCTCCACTTACCCTCGTCCGTGCCCATTTCGCAACTTCACGTTGCACCCATCGGACACCATCAACTCACCATCACACTCCACCTTATTCCGCCTTAACCTACCCATGCAACATCAGCAGCTCCATTCCCAGTCCCTGTCCCTCCATAGTATTGTATATAGTAGTGTAGTGTGTAGTGTATAGTGTAGTGTATAGTAGTGTAGTGTATAATGTAGTAGTGTATAGTAGTTTAGTGTATAGTAGTGTAGTGTATAGTAGTGTAGTGTATAATGTAGCAGTTTATAGTTTTGTAGTTTATAGTAGTGTATTTTATAGTCTAGCATGAACAATAAGAATAGGTTTTACCCTTTCTGGCAATAAAACGGATGTTAAGATGTTCAACACCTGTTTTATTGCCTGAAATTGTAAAACCTATTCTTATTTTTTCAAACGTTGCTGCTCGAGGGCGGATGGGGGATTGAGGTGCCGCCCGGCCTCAAGGGCAGAGTGCAGCGACGCTTGCTGCAGGTAGGGAAGGGTTAAGATGCGGGCTCGCAAGCAGATTTCAAGGATGCCAGTTGCAGGTGATGAAGACTCGAGTCAGACTCGAGTCATGAATTTGATGACTTCAGACTCGACTTGGACTTGCATAACAATGACTTTGTCCCACCTCTGGCAGGTGATGAAGTGCTGGGGTTTTGGCAAAAACTGTCCCACTTTGTAGCTGCTCACCCCGAGCTATACGTGTGGCATTGCCCTTGTACTGTTCGCCTTTTGGCGTTCTCTGGTCTGACACTGGTGAACGATGCCATAAAGAAGGATGTCTCTGGTGCAGGCCAATCAGTTTCAAAGGCAATGCCATATATTAATTACCAGAGCCATGTTTGTTTGCAAGTTCACCACAAGTAATGTGTGTGGTTAATGCGAACTTTATTCCTTGCAAAATGTTTCTATCTGGTGTTTGAACACCTTAACACAATTGTTTTATTGCAAGAAAGGGTAAAGTATATAATTATTTAAATAATAGTGTAGTAATGTATGGTAGTGTATCGTGTAGTAGTGTGTAGTAGTGTAGTGTATAGTAGTGTTTAGCGTAGTGTATAGTGTAGTTATGCACAGTAATGTATAGTGTAGTAGTGTGTTGTGTACTGTATAGTGTAGTAGTGTATAGTAATGTATTGTGCTGTAGTGTATAGTAGTGTAGTGTATAGTAGTGTGTAGCGTAGTGTATAGTGTAGTAGTGTGTAGTAATGTATAATGTAGTAGTGTATAGTTCTGGTAGTGCCGGGGTCTGTCGCCAGGGTAAAAGGAGGTCTGGACCACCACTCCTCAACACGCTGCTACCGCCGCGACCCTCGCCAGGACAAGCGAACTGAGAAATGAACGGACGAGCATTCGTTATTGGCCAATAGGGGAGAGGGATGGGATTGGAGTGTTGGGGAAGGGAAGGGATCGCCCCGGGTTGTTGATGGAATTGCCGGCGAAACGTCGCGGTGTTCAAATTGTAAAAATGTTGTCGTGGTGGGTTTACTCTCCCACACACACAGCTGCTTTAGTGCTGTACTAGCATAATACACTATATACTACACGACTATACACTACACTACTATACACTACTATACTATACAATACACTACTACACGACTATACACTACACTACTATACACTCTCTTGTTCGTCCATCATAGTTGATGATGACCATGGCACGTTTGTCATTTTGTTGGGTTTTGATGAGTGCGCAGATGGCTGAACAGGAAAATCCGAGCCCGGAATTATCTGTGGCACACTGGACAGGTCAGGGAGGATGTAGAGCTCTGAGGTGAAGCCACCAGTCCTTCCTTGGTAGATTTGCGCTGCTGCCTCTTCAAGATAGCACAGGAGCTTCACTACTATACAATACACTACTACACACTACACTATACACTACACTATTATACAATGCACTATACACTACTATACACTACACTATAAAATACACACTAGCTGTAAGTGTAAATGTGTGTAGTGAGGTTTAACGCTCCAACACACAACCGCTTTAGTGCTGTATCAGTAACTAGTTGGCCACCACATTTTGTGGTTACGCGACAACACAACCCTCGCTGGCGATTGGACCGTGTCGGATTGTGGTGGTGGCGGATTTAACGACACACACAAACACATCACATTAATACATTGACGCGTATTGTAACCCGACTCCCCCCCAAAAAAAACCTTTGTTGTGGATAAATATTACGTTGACAAATGTCTCTCTCTCTGTCTTGAGGCCTGGGGGCTTATGCCGTGGTAGCGAACAAGGAGGCCCTAACCCAAATCAACTTTTATTTTCGATAATAAAACTCAAATAAGTCCGTAAACTAATTATGTATCTCTCCCTTCTGGCCTCCCTATTGAATTTATAACGGTAGCCAAATTCTCGAAACTCATTGAGATGCATAGAAACACTCAGAGACCCAAAGACTGAACAATTTATTTATTTGTATTTTACCAAGTAAGGCCCCACTGGTCAGAAGCGACCCTGGCCATAGCAGCTCAACCAAGTGGCTGATGATATCATCATCACGGTGTGGAAATTTATAGCAGCGAAATATTCTAAACACGTGGTGATGTTAATTCTAAATCTGAAAGGGAAAAACAACTGAAGAGGAAACAGAGACAAATCCACGCGACCACGGAGAGAGACGCAAACTCCAAATATACAGCAGGAGTCAGCATCGGGATCGAACCCACGACCTCCTGTAGACCAGGCGAGGGAGTTAACATCTCCTAGCCACTGTGATGATGATGAGAGAGACACGGAAACTCCGAATATAAGCCAGCAGGCATCGTCAGGGTCGGGATCGAACCCACGACTTCCTGTAAACCAGGCGAGTGAGTTAAAATCTCACCACCGTGATGATGAGAGAGAGAGAGAGACGCAAACTACAAATATACAGCAGACATAAGTGTCGGGATCGAACCCACGACCTCCTACATACCAGGCGATGTAGTTAACATCTTGGTGCCACGGGTACCTATATATGTAATAAATAGTAATTTAATATACAAAAAAATATCCCACTCACCAGAACTATTAGCAGTCGGGATGTCGCGTCCTTAAGGAGTCCCATTCTGATGAGCATGCCTTGAATCGACCCCAACGCACCCCTTGGGCTGGTACGAGCGAGGTGTGCGCGTGTGGCAGTAACGCGACGGATATTCCTACGCCTTCACGATCTCCAAGAAACTCGATAAATCCACGGGGCTGCCTTCCCTCTCTCCCTCCCCACTTTCCCTTTCCCCCTTTGTTACATCAACACGCAAAACAACCCCGCAACCGTTCAGTAAGGTGACTTATACGACACGGCTCCCGGGTCTGTGTGTGTGTGTCGGGTCGGGTGGCGTGGAGTCAGAATGATTTTTGTGTGTTTCCTGGCACCCACGGGTACGACCAACCCTGGGAGGGTAAGGACCTTTGGCCAGTGGGAGCGGCTGATCAGAGGAAATTACAGAACGGGAGGTGCCCTTTGCCCCATAGGCAGGTTACTCAACTTGAATGTAACAGGCAGTTTAACCCTCAGCAGGAGGCTTTGTCGCGACCAATGTAATCCATAGTATAGGTTTATTTTTTATTGGGTTAGATTGTGTAAATACAAATGTGGTGTTGAACCCACCACCACGCGACATGGCCAATTAGTTAGAGGGTTTGTCACGTAAACTGAACGTGCCAATTCGTCACTAGCACAGCACAGCGGCTCTGTGTTGGGGAGTAAATCCACTACAACATTCACAATTTGAGTACTCTGCCAACTCGCTGCGTTTTAGCCGCTCGTTGTTGTGAGCGCCGCTCCTCTGCCCCTCGTTGTTGTTGCTGGAGGACGGCCACCTCCAACTGGCCAGTAGCAGCGTCCTCAACGTGCACCTAGCCTGGTACTGCCCAGTGTCGTCCTTCACGAGCCTCCTCCATAGAGGCAGAGATTGACACCGCTGGTACCAATCTATAAACTAATTACTAAAGTATAATTATTTTACCAGTTAAGGCCCACTGACCTATGTAGTAGCTCTTTTTAAAAAGCGACCGGGCCATACGTGATAGCTCAGCCATCATCATCATCATGTGGAATTGTATAGCAGTAGCCAAAACACCCTAAAAAGCGTGACGTTGATTATAAATGTGGAAGGAAAAACACGGAGAACCTGGAGAAAAAATGCACGCGACCACGGGGAAAGAGAGACGCAGGCTCCAAATATACAGCAGCAGTAGGCGTCAGAGTCGGGTTCGAACCGACGACCTCCTGTATACCAGGTGAGTTAGTTAACATCTCCTATCCACCGTGATGATGATGATGAGAGAGCGAGACACACAGACTCCAATGATAAAGCAGGCATCATCAGGGTTGGGATCGAACCCACGACCTCCTGCGTACCAGGCGAGATAGTCAACATCTCATCACAACAGGACGCACGAGAGGGAGCATCGAGAGAGGCCCTCCAGTGGGCATTTTTGGGTCTCCTCTTCCACGCTGCACCAACGACGTTGTAAGAGGCGGGGGTAGCCAAACCTCACACCACCGTGCGGGGGCGTGGACCTGGAACGCAACTTTAATGGTTTTACAACACTGCTGTGCCTAGTAAACTCCGCGAGCTCTCTTTCTCTCTCTCCCTCTTGTGTGAGTTCACAACGAATCGATCGCTGCCCTCTGGCTCAAAGGTCGCCGACAAGGCACAAGACGACGACGACGACGATGGAGACCATTCTGGCCATTCTTTCAGCTCTCTCTTCAGTCGGCGCCACTTAAGCGACCTCACGGGGAGTGTTCCAGAGCGGTTTGGCGCGACCGACAGCGAAGAAGCCGCAGCGCAGAGGAAAAAAAATCACCGACGTGGGGCTGGCGGGCGTAAAAAATGAATATTCCGTCGTGTTTCATCGCCCTTCAATTGTTCACGACGCTGGTGAGTGAACTTACGCGCGGCGCCTTCGCAAACCGGAGGACGCCTGGTGTGGTCTGGGGCTGTTGTTGTTGTTGTTTTGGTGTGGTCTGGGACTGTTGTTGTTGTTGACTTGGGTGGTCTGGGACTGTTGTTGTTGTTGACTTGGTGTGGTCTGGGACTGTTGTTGTTGTTGACTTGGTGTGGTCTGGGACTGTTGTTGTTGTTGACTTGGTGTGGTCTGGGACTGTTGTTGTTGTTGACTTGGTGTGGTCTGGGACTGTTGTTGTTGTTGTTGTCTTGGCGTGGTCTGCGACTGTTGTTGTGTTGCCTTGCCCCAAGCTTGCATTTAGTGTTGATAAACCGCCACTAATTTATATCCAGTAGACTCTCGTTTCTTCGCGCGAATTTTCCCCAGATGTCTATGTCAAGATGACGGAGACTTGTGTTGCCTCCGAAACGTCGTGATTTTTATTTTATTTTTATTAATTTTAATTTAAACTTTTTACCTACGTGACTTTACCGAAAGAACTAAGAGTATGAATCATTGCAGTCACGAAAGCTTCAAATCTAGAAAGAAACAAATAATTTAGGGTTATAAATTATTTTTAAGCTTCTCTGCCATGTCAAAGTTTAAAAAAGTACAAACTCACAATTTGAATGACCGGATAAGTCGCTCACAATGAAGCACAACTGATGACGATTTCAATTGTTACTCTTTCGATTGAAAATGTTCGACCGATGGATGATGCACATGCTCAGTGATAATATAAATTTCCTGTCACCCACCCAGCAGAAGATTCGGCCCCCTAAGTCGATGATAGCAGAGCCATAACCAATCAACATCAATCAAACTCAACCCCACTAAGTGGATGATAGAGCGACATCCAATCAACGTCAATCAATCTCAGCCCACTGAGTGGGTGATTGCAGAGCCATAGCTAATCGATATATGGGGAATCCTGGTGGTAGCTATGAAAATGTTGACTACCTAGCCGGGTATGCAGGAGGCCATGGGTTCGATCCCGACCCTGACATCACGGTGGCTAGATGTTAACTATCTCGCCGGGTATAGACGATGTTGTGGGTTCCATCCCAGACCCTGACGCCTTGCTGCTGCATATTTGGAATGTCTCTCCCCGTGGTCGCGTGGATTTTTCTACAGGGTCCTCCAGTTTATCCCTGCCACATTAAGAATCAACATCACCATGCGTTCCGAGTCTTTGTTTGCTGCTATAAATTCCTAAGTGACGATTATATCATCCACTTCGTAGAGCTGCGATCATTTGTGATGGCGAGGGTCGCTTCTTAAAAAGAGTTACACAGCTCAGTGGAGCCTTACACCTGGTACGTAAAATTGTTTAGTTTATGGGTCTCTATGGATCTCTGTGTGTCTCTGTGCACTTCTATGTGCCCCTATGGTTTTCTATGTGCCTCTGTGGGTCGCTATGTATCTCCATGAATCTCTATGCGTCTACATTTTTTGGCTGCCGCTATAAATGTCCACGCTGTTCGTAGCGAGTGCCTGTTCATTGTGAGTGTTCGTGGCGAGTGCCTGTTCATAGCAAGTGCCTGTTTGTAGCGAGTGCCTGCTCATGGCGAGTGTCTGTTCGTGGCGAGTGCCTGTTCATGGCGAGTGGCTGTTCGTAGCGAGTGGCCACGCCTATGACGGCTGGCACCGGTTTGTGTTGGAGAATTGACTCGATTTGTAAATGTTGCGGTGGGGTTTACTTTCCAACACACAACAACCGGTTTAGCGCTGTACCATTCAACGAATTGGCACCACGTTTTGTTTACGTGACGCAAACCTCCTTACTGATTTGCCGTTTCGGGTGGTGGCGGGTTTAACGACACATTTATATTCACGCGATCTAACACAAAATACCTTCAATTACGGATAAAATTGTCCGCAAAGGCCACCTACTGAGTGTTAAACTCAAAAACGAAATCTGTTCAAGAACGGCCTTCTCTCATTTCAGTTTTATTTTTTCCCAAAAGCCTTGAACTCGCTCATCGTTAACTATTTTCCACCCTTTTTCCATGCGTAGCGCCCTGGCAACGATTGTTTGAGGGCGCTTTATGAGTTAAAATCATTATTATTATCACTACTACCAGCGGCATTCGAGTCCAAAATGCATTTTGTGGGGAGGCGGTGGTGATGTAGGGGTTAGCGCTACATTGCGAACCCGGCAGAGATCCTAGTTCCGTTCCCGCTCACGGCCACCAACACCAGTGACGATTATCTGAATCGGTCCTGGGCCTCCCCTAGGTCGACTCAGCCTCAAGAGAGTACCTGGTGTAGCAGTGTGTAGTAAACATCGCCAGTACTGGGGAGACAAAGCTGGCCGGGCGTGGTACTGGCCACCCACCCCCTCATGTGCCGTGCCGGCATTCATAGGTGCTGCTACTCGCTAACAACACTTGCCCCAACAGTCTGTTAGAGGCTATACGTGGTGGATCTTTGTTACCTGGCGAACAAAGCGCACAGCAGAAGCCGGCCGCCGACTTGTACCGGCCCTGAGTTTGGCACTCATCCTGTGCATCCACACGATGAAGGTTCAACGAGTTAACAACACAACAGTGTGAGGGGGGCGGGGGGTAGCAGTGGCGCAACGGTTAGCACTCCACATTAACACGAAGGCTTTCGTGACCAATATTATTCATAATAAAGATTTTTGGGTCAGATTGCATTATTTATAAATGTGTCGCAACCCTCCACCACCCGACACGGCCAATCACTAAAAAATGTGTCACGATGACAAAAGACAAAATAGTTCACTACTTTAGCCCACCGGTGTGTTGAAGAGTGAATCCACAACATTTACAATTTTTGACTACGACGTTTCGCTGGGCGGGCGGGGGGGACTGTTGCCTAATGAGCCATGCGGTGTGTTTCTTGCCTGATTTGAAGGCGAGGGTTGACCGCAGCTCACATCGGCCATCCGTGATACGATCTGGGCGGCAACAAACGGGAGGGAGGAAGGCAAAGCATCGTCAACGTGCCACGCAAGTTACGAACGTGTTGGCGGTAACACCCGGTGGCAATTTCATTGTCTTATCTAGGATTTTATGTAAGGCGCTTTTACCAAAGCTTTTACCAAAGCGCCTTATGGGAACTATGATGACGGCACCTGTGGTCATGAGATAACCCTCCGACGACGACCAAAATTCCTCAAATCCCGGGTTCCGATGTCTCGTTTTCTATGTGCACCTGGCCACATCTAAACCTTATGGCGGGTCCCCGGGGTCCCGAATAAACGGAAGTCGAAATCGTGATTAATTAGATAGAAAATTAATAGATCACGATGTTTCGATCGCAAGCAACCTGTTGTGTTTGTCTCACTTGATGACGGTTGCTTTTGTTGCGATCGAAACGTCGTGATCTATTAATTTTATACCTGCGTGACTTTACCGAAAGAACCAAAGAGTATGGATTCCTGCAGTCACGAAAGCTTCAAATCAAGATCGTAATTAATTTATTTATTTTTGGCGACTCCATCCCCACCGCGCACACAAACGCCGTGATCATTCTGTTGTCACGTCGTCCAAGCGCAGCGAGGACGAATGCCACAGTGATAAACAAAACTTTTAAACTTTGATTGGCGCATCGCGAATAGACTGCCTTCAACGGACATAAAATGAAGTCGCAAACGCAGTTCACGCGAGAGTCGGGGGCTTATGGGACCCCGGAGATACGCCCCAAGCTTTGTCGCTCCCCCAGCCCTACTCTGCCTTCCTCCATCGGCTCAACTGTCCGGCCACCAGACCTCTGCTCCCCTACCACCCTCCACTTACCCTCGTCCGTGCCCATTTCGCAACTTCACGTTGCACCCATCGGACACCATCAACTCACCATCACACTCCACCTTATTCCGCCTTAACCTACCCATGCAACATCAGCAGCTCCATTCCCAGTCCCTGTCCCTCCATAGTATTGTATATAGTAGTGTAGTGTGTAGTGTATAGTGTAGTGTATAGTAGTGTAGTGTATAATGTAGTAGTGTATAGTAGTTTAGTGTATAGTAGTGTAGTGTATAGTAGTGTAGTGTATAATGTAGCAGTTTATAGTTTTGTAGTTTATAGTAGTGTATTTTATAGTCTAGCATGAACAATAAGAATAGGTTTTACCCTTTCTGGCAATAAAACGGATGTTAAGATGTTCAACACCTGTTTTATTGCCTGAAATTGTAAAACCTATTCTTATTTTTTCAAACGTTGCTGCTCGAGGGCGGATGGGGGATTGAGGTGCCGCCCGGCCTCAAGGGCAGAGTGCAGCGACGCTTGCTGCAGGTAGGGAAGGGTTAAGATGCGGGCTCGCAAGCAGATTTCAAGGATGCCAGTTGCAGGTGATGAAGTGCTGGGGTTTTGGCAAAAACTGTCCCACTTTGTAGCTGCTCACCCCGAGCTATACGTGTGGCATTGCCCTTGTACTGTTCGCCTTTTGGCGTTCTCTGGTCTGACACTGGTGAACGATGCCATAAAGAAGGATGTCTCTGGTGCAGGCCAATCAGTTTCAAAGGCAATGCCATATATTAATTACCAGAGCCATGTTTGTTTGCAAGTTCACCACAAGTAATGTGTGTGGTTAATGCGAACTTTATTCCTTGCAAAATGTTTCTATCTGGTGTTTGAACACCTTAACACAATTGTTTTATTGCAAGAAAGGGTAAAGTATATAATTATTTAAATAATAGTGTAGTAATGTATGGTAGTGTATCGTGTAGTAGTGTGTAGTAGTGTAGTGTATAGTAGTGTTTAGCGTAGTGTATAGTGTAGTTATGCACAGTAATGTATAGTGTAGTAGTGTGTTGTGTACTGTATAGTGTAGTAGTGTATAGTAATGTATTGTGCTGTAGTGTATAGTAGTGTAGTGTATAGTAGTGTGTAGCGTAGTGTATAGTGTAGTAGTGTGTAGTAATGTATAATGTAGTAGTGTATAGTTCTGGTAGTGCCGGGGTCTGTCGCCAGGGTAAAAGGAGGTCTGGACCGCCACTCCTCAACACGCTTCTACCGCCGCGACCCTCGCCAGGACAAGCGAACTGAGAAATGAACGGACGAGCATTCGTTATTGGCCAATAGGGGAGAGGGATGGGATTGGAGTGTTGGGGAAGGGAAGGGATCGCCCCGATGATGCCGGGTTGTTGATGGAATTGCCGGCGAAACGTCGCGGTGTTCAAATTGTAAAAATGTTGTCGTGGTGGGTTTACTCTCCCACACACACAACTGCTTTAGTGCTGTACTAGCATAATACACTATATACTACACGACTATACACTACACTACTATACACTACTATACTATACAATACACTACTACACGACTATACACTACACTACTATACACTCTCTTGTTCGTCCATCATACTTGATGATGACCATGGCACGTTTGTCATTTTGTTGGGTTTTGATGAGTGCGCAGATGGCTGAACAGGAAAATCCGAGCCCGGAATTATCTGTGGCACACTGGACAGGTCAGGGAGGATGTAGAGCTCTGAGGTGAAGCCACCAGTCCTTCCTTGGTAGATTTGCGCTGCTGCCTCTTCAAGATAGCACAGGAGCTTCACTACTATACAATACACTACTACACACTACACTATACACTACACTATTATACAATGCACTATACACTACTACACACTACACTATACACTACACTATTATACAATGCACTATACACTACCATACACTACACTATAAAATACACATTACCTGTAATTGGGAATGTGTGTGTGAGGTTTAACGCTCCAACACACAACCGCTTTAGTGCTGTATCAGTAACTAGTTGGCCACCACATTTTGTGGTTACGCGACAACACAACCCTCGCTGGCGATTGGACCGTGTCGGATTGTGGTGGTGGCGGATTTAACGACACACACAAACACATCACATTAATACATTGACGCGTATTATAACCCGAATCCCCCCCCAAAAAAACCTTTGGTGTGGATAAATATTACGTTGACGAATGTCTCTTTCTCTGTCTTGAGGCATGGGGGCTTATGCCGTGGTAGCGAACAAGGAAGCCCTAACCCAAATCAACTTTTATTTTCGATAATAAAACTCAAATAAGTCCGTAAACTAATTATGTATCTCTCCCTTCTGGCCTCCCTATTGAATTTACAACGGTAGCCACATTCTCGAAACTCATTGAGATGCATAGAAACACTCAGAGACCCAAAGACTGAACAATTTATTTATTTGTATTTTACCAAGTAAGGCCCCACTGGTCAGAAGCGACCCTGGCCATAGCAGCTCAACCAAGTGGCTGATGATATCATCATCACGGTGTGGAAATTTATAGCAGCGAAATATTCTAAACACGTGGTGATGTTAATTCTAAATCTGAAAGGGAAAAACAACTGAAGAGGAAACAGAGACAAATCCACGCGACCACGGAGAGAGACGCAAACTCCAAATATACAGCAGGAGTCGGCATCGGGATCGAACCCACGACCTCCTGTAGACCAGGCGAGGGAGTTAACATCTCCTAGCCACTGTGATGATGATGAGACACGGAAACTCTAAATATAAACCAGCAGGCATCGTCAGGGTCGGGATCGAACCCACGACTTCCTGTAGATCAGGCGAGGGAGTTAACATCTCCTAGCCACTGTGATGATGATGAGAGAGACATGGAAACTCCAAATATAAACCAGCAGGCATCGTCAGGGTCGGGATCGAACCCACAACTTCCTGTAAACCAGGCGAGGGAGTTAAAATCTCACCACCGTGATGATGATGAGAGAGAGAGAGACGCAAACTCCAAATATACAGCAGACATAAGGGTCGGGATCGAACCCACGACCTCCTACATACCAGGCGATGTAGTTAACATATTGGTGCCACGGGTACCTATATATGTAATAAATAGTAATTTAATATACAAAAAAATATCCCACTCACCAGAACTATTAGCAGTCGGGATGTCGCGTCCTTAAGGAGTCCCATTCTGATGAGCATGCTTTGAATCAACCCCAACGCACCCCTTGGGCTGGTACGAGCGAGGTGTGCGCGTGTGGCAGTAACGCGACGGATATTCCTACGCCTTCACGATCTCCAAGAAACTCGATAAATCCACGGGGCTGCCTTCCCTCTCTCCCTCCCCACTTTCCCTTTCCCCCTTTGTTACATCAACACGCAAAACAACCCCGCAACCGTTCAGTAAGGTGACTTATACGACACGGCTCCCGGGTCTGTGTGTGTGTGTCGGGTCGGGTGGCGTGGAGTCAGAATGATTTTTGTGTGTTTCCTGGCACCCACGGGTACGACCAACCCTGGGAGGGTAAGGACCTTTGGCCAGTGGGAGCGGCTGATCAGAGGAAATTACAGAACGGGAGGTGCCCTTTGCCCCATAGGCAGGTTACTCAACTTGAATGTAACAGGCAGTTTAACCCTCAGCAGGAGGCTTTGTCGCGACCAATGTAATCCATAGTATAGGTTTATTTTTTATTGGGTTAGATTGTGTAAATACAAATGTGGTGTTGAACCCACCACCACGCGACATGGCCAATTAGTTAGAGGGTTTGTCACGTAAACTGAACGTGCCAATTCGTCACTAGCACAGCACAGCGGCTCTGTGTTGGGGAGTAAATCCACTACAACATTCACAATTTGAGTACTCTGCCAACTCGCTGCGTTTTAGCCGCTCGTTGTTGTGAGCGCCGCTCCTCTGCCCCTCGTTGTTGTTGCTGGAGGACGGCCACCTCCAACTGGCCAGTAGCAGCGTCCTCAACGTGCACCTAGCCTGGTACTGCCCAGTGTCGTCCTTCACGAGCCTCCTCCATAGAGGCAGAGATTGACACCGCTGGTACCAATCTATAAACTAATTACTAAAGTATAATTATTTTACCAGTTAAGGCCCACTGACCTATGTAGTAGCTCTTTTTAAAAAGCGACCGGGCCATACGTGATAGCTCAGCCATCATCATCATCATGTGGAATTGTATAGCAGTAGCCAAAACACCCTAAAAAGCGTGACGTTGATTATAAATGTGGAAGGAAAAACACGGAGAACCTGGAGAAAAAATGCACGCGACCACGGGGAAAGAGAGACGCAGGCTCCAAATATACAGCAGCAGTAGGCGTCAGAGTCGGGTTCGAACCGACGACCTCCTGTATACCAGGTGAGTTAGTTAACATCTCCTATCCACCGTGATGATGATGATGAGAGAGCGAGACACACAGACTCCAATGATAAAGCAGGCATCATCAGGGTTGGGATCGAACCCACGACCTCCTGCGTACCAGGCGAGATAGTCAACATCTCATCACAACAGGACGCACGAGAGGGAGCATCGAGAGAGGCCCTCCAGTGGGCATTTTTGGGTCTCCTCTTCCACGCTGCACCAACGACGTTGTAAGAGGCGGGGGTAGCCAAACCTCACACCACCGTGCGGGGGCGTGGACCTGGAACGCAACTTTAATGGTTTTACAACACTGCTGTGCCTAGTAAACTCCGCGAGCTCTCTTTCTCTCTCTCCCTCTTGTGTGAGTTCACAACGAATCGATCGCTGCCCTCTGGCTCAAAGGTCGCCGACAAGGCACAAGACGACGACGACGACGATGGAGACCATTCTGGCCATTCTTTCAGCTCTCTCTTCAGTCGGCGCCACTTAAGCGACCTCACGGGGAGTGTTCCAGAGCGGTTTGGCCCGACTGACAGCGAAGAAGCCGCAGCGCAGAGGAAGGAAAATCACCGACGTGGGGCTGGCGGGCGTAAAAAATGAATATTCCGTCGTGTTTCATCGCCCTTCAATTGTTCACGACGCTGGTGAGTGAACTTACGCACGGCGCCTTCGCAAAGCGGAGAACGCCTGGTGTGGTCTGGGACTGTTGTTGTTGTCTTGGTGTGGTCTGGGACTGTTGTTGTTGTCTTGGTGTGGTCTGCGACTGTTGTTGTTGTCTTGGTGTGGTCTGGGACTGTTGTTGTTGTCTTGGTGTGGTCTGGGACTGTTGTTGTTGTCTTGGTGTGGTCTGGGACTGTTGTTGTTGTCTTGGTGTGGTCTGGGACTGTTGTTGTTGTCTTGGTGTGGTCTGGGACTGTTGTTGTTGTCTTGGTGTGGTCTGGGACTGTTGTTGTTGTCTTAGTGTGGTCTGGGACTGTTATTGTGTTGCCTTGCCCCAAGCTTGCATTTAGTGTTGATAAACCGCCACTAATTTATGTCCAATAGACTCTTGTTTCTTCGCGCGAATCTTCCCCGGATGTCTATGTCAAGAAACAAATAATGTAGGGTTATAAATTGTTTTTAAGTTTCTCTGCCACGGCAACGTTTAAAAAAAGTAAAAACTCACAATTTGAATGACCGGATAAGTCACTCAGAATGTAGCACAACTGATGACGATTTCAATTGTTACTCTTTCGATTGAGAATGTTCGACCGACGGATGATGCACATTCTCAGTGATAATGTCACTTTCCTGTCACCCACCCAGCAGAAGATTCGGCCCCCTAAGTCGATGATAGCAGAGCCACAAGCAATCATCATTCAAACTCAGCCCACTGAGTGGATGATTGCAGAGCCATAGCTAATCGATATATGGGGAATCCTGGTGGTAGCTATGAAGATGTTGACTACCTAGCCGGGTATGCAGGAGGCCATGGGTTCGATCCCGACCCTGACATCACGGTGGCTAGGAGATGTTAACTACCTCGCCGGGTATAGACGATGTTGTGGGTTCCATCCCAGACCCTGACGCCTTGCTGCTGCACATTTGGAATCTCTCTCCCCGTGGTCGCGTGGATTTTTCTATAGGGTCCTCCAGTTTATCCCTGTCCCATTTAGAATCAACATCACCACGCGTTCCGAGTCTTTGTTTGCTGCTATAAATTCCTAAGTGACGATGATATCAGCTACTTCGTAGAGCTGCGATCATTTGTGATGGCCAGGGTCGCTTCTTAAAAAGAGCTACACAGTTCAGTGGGGCCTTACACCTGGTACGTAAAATCGTTTAGTTTATGGGTCTCTATGGATCTCTGTGTGTCTCTGTGCACTTCTATTTGCCCCTATGGGTCTCTATGTATCTCCATGAATCTTTATGCGTCTACATTTTTTTGCTGCCGCTATAAATGTCCACGCTAATTGGTTGAGCTGCTATAATTGGGTGTAGTGGCCATGGGTCGCCTCTGAACAAACATAGCAGTTGAGTGGTGGCAGCCTTGCACATGGTTAAATAAATGCAAATGTTGTTTAGTTTATGATTCTCTAAGTATATCAATATCTATGGATTCACCACTTTCTCATTTTCCGTTGTGCATTTTTGGACCAAATTTTATATCTTTGGAATTTCAAATCGACGTAGTTTTCGTTTAAATGGCGTGCTCAGAGTGTGTTTTTTTACATTTCCTGTTGTCTGCAGATACTTCCCTCTGAAAGTGTGACGATCAGCAACGTTCTACGAGAGGTAAGGTGCAAGCAAAAATGTGTGGCCACCAGGAATATTGTCGGTCTCATTAATTGCCCCCCAGCATCTCCCAGCGCCCTGGATAACTTTTCAAGTGGGACGATTCACGTGAACATTATATCCAACTCAGCAATTACACCCTTTCCCATCCACCCCACTGTGTGCGGAATTTTTTGAAGTGGGGTGGGTAGGGTTATAGCCAATTCCAGTACCCGCCATTAGCCACGAAGTGACGGTGACGTCACCATGGCGCCTGTGCCAGGCCAGGTGCACTTTGAGGCCACGGGAATTGTCGAAGGCTCGCTGCTGACAGGAGGTCTCGGGAGAGACCCAGCAGGTGCCATGGGTTGGCTGACTGAGATGACCGGTAGATGCTCCACCACCAGATGTGCCCCCTACTGTACCAGGCTAGGTGCAGGAGGTCACAGACAGATCCAGCTAGTGCTATGGGTTGGCTGACTGAGATGACTGGGCGACGCACCACTAGCTGTACCCCCTACTGTGCCAACTTGCAGCACTTTATCCGTCCTTTTCTCCACTCGTTGTTATGAGCGTTGCTCCTGTGCCCTCAGTTATTGCGCACACGTAAACACACACATACATGTACTGCCTTCAAAAGTGAAGATTCCTCCATTTGAGGCTGGGTCGATCTAGAGGAACCCCTCAGCCCCTGGGTTGCAGATCATCGTCCTGTAACTCGATGGCACGGGTGAAGGCAGAATTCTTTGGTTGTTACATTTTTCCTCGTCTTTAATGTTTTTTTTCTCCACACAGGTTATCAAAGGCGGATGTAACGAAACGACGCACTACTTGTCAAGACATGGAATCTGTTGTGAGCTCTGCCAAGCAGGTAATATGCAAATATATAAAGGCCTGACTCAAATACCACTATTGAAAGGTTTTAATGTGGGCACGTTGAACTTCTTTCGCACCGCACGTAGCCAACCGTGGCTAATCGGAGGTGCAGTTTTGAGTCGATAGGCAGTGTTTAATATATATGGGTAGTGTTAGTCTATGGGCATTGTTGAATCTATATGGGTAGTGTTAGTCTATGGACAATGTTGAATCTATATAGGTAGTGTTAGTCTATGGACAGTGTTAAATATATTTGGGAATGTTAGTCTATGGGCAGTGTTGAATCTATATGGGTAGTGTAAGTATAATGGCATTGTTGAATCTTTGTGGGTAGTATTAGTCTATGGGCAGTGTATATGTTGAACGTATTCGCACCGTGCATAGCCAACCATGGCTAATTGGAGGTACGGGATGAAAGACAACAACACTGAACACAACAACAACAGCACTGAACACAAAAAGAATACTGAACACAACAACAAAAACAAGCAGCAGTTATTAAACGAAATGACGTTTCAATCTGGATGATTAAATGGTGAATTGCATAGCTTCAAGTTACCAGATTCGAGTTAATACTTTACGTGAATTGAGCACGGGTTTGGCAAGCATAAAAAATGTTGAAGGAAAACACTCAAATGAGTGCAGAAATACAATCGTTTGAGCTGCTGATCTGGTGGTGGTGGTTGGTAGCTGCTCGTGAATGACGCTGCTGCTGGGCAGTTGGAGGCAGTCGCCCTCCAGCAACAACGGAGGGCAGAGGAGCGATGCTCACAACAAGGAGCGGAGTGAACAGGTGGCTAAAACGCAACAAGTTGGCAACAGTAGGGGGGTAGAACTGGTGGGGCATCTACCGGTCATTTCAGTCAGCCGACCCATGGCACCATCTGGATCTGTCCCGTGACCTCCTATCAGCAGTGAGTCCTTCGACCTCAGTGCACCTGGCCTGGCACAGGCGCCGTGGTGACGTCACCTGGCACTTAGTGGCGAATGGCGGCGGCTGTATTGGTATTGGTTGGGAGAGCAACGTGAGTGGAGCAATCAGTGAGCGAGCGATTTCTGGATTAGAGGCGTCCGTGCGCTCACCGCTTCGCCACGGCCGGCATTGTCTAGTTTTGATTCGGGAAACAACAACGAATGACAACGACCATTGTTTTGTACTCGTGATGAAATGCCAAGGAAATAAAGTTGCAGGCTACTTGTCAAGACATCGGTGTCCCTGCAAATCGAGAGATGACAATGATTTTGGAAGCGAGGAGTGGGGGACTGTAAATGTAGAGGCACGTGGGGACCTTCGACCGGGTTTATGAAGGCAGAGCAATAACTGCAAGCTATTGCACTTTGAAACAATCAGTACTCTGCTCTTGTAGACTATTACTACTGCTCATGAATAGAGGATTTTTGGTTAGATCACATACATGTAAATGTGTGTCGTTACACCCGCCACCACCCGACACACCCAATCAGTGAGGAGTTTTGTGTCACGTACACAGAACGTGGTGCCATTTTGTTACTGGTACAGCACTAACCCGGTTGTATGTTGGAGAGAAAACTCCACTACAGCATTTACAATTATGGTGTAGTATATAGTAGTGTATAGTGTAGTGTTTAGTGGAGTGTATAGTAGTGTAATGTGTAGAAGTGTAGTGTATAGTAGTGTAGTGTGTATTGTATAATATTGTAGGGTACAGTGTATAGTAGTGGATGGGCAGTCCTCGGATTATTCATCTAATTCGTTCCTGAGATCCGTTCGTAAGTGGAATGGTTCGCGAGTCTGGAACACATCAAGGCGGTGAAGGGCAACAAACACCAAAACCTTTTTTATTAAATCCTTTATATTAAGTTCGCGTGCTTGCTTGCTTAGGACCGTGCAAATCTTTCGGTCGTTTTTTAACCCACTTCCCGTGATCCAATCGAGCTGACATTTTCCACACAGACTCGTTGTGCCAGACAATTATTGTTCGTGAAAAAAAATTCCCAAAATTTTACACTTTTTAGGCAAAAGAAAATGTATTTTACATATATTCAAATAGAACGCATTCATGGCTTTGGCTGAACATCACAGTGCAAGAGCCCAGAGCGTAACCCCTCCACAGGCCGTGATGGAGTGGCGCAGTTAGTAGCGCCTTCGCTTCCCATGCCAAAGGTCGCGGGATCGATCCCCGCGTCCTCCACAGGCGAATATATTTTTAAATCCTTTATATTAAGTTCGCTTGCTTGCTTAGGACCGTGCAAATCTTTCGCTCGTTTTTAACCCACTTCCCGTGATCCAATCGAGCTGACATTTTCCACACAGACTCGTTGTGTGTGACAATTAATTTTCGTGAAATTTTTTTTCCAAAATGTTACACTGTTTAGGGAAAACTAATTAAATATTTAATTACCAATTGCTTAATACTGGCAGACAATCATCTGACCCATAGATTGCAGCCATCTCAAGCCAGAGGACGAGAGAACTCTAGCCGCCACGCATATAAAGGATTTAGAGTGAAAAACTTTGTTTTTACGGGTTTACTTGTTTGTATTCTCGTTCAGTCGGTGCGTCTGTTTCCCTCCTCCCTGCCACCCCCCCCCCCTGCTGCCGCCTTGCAGGTAGCAGGAAGGTGATGGATTGCGAACCAAACAGCGGCACGTTTTGCACGAGTTGCGAGCAAGGACAAGACTACACGGACGAACCGAACAGCTACAACGAGTGCAAGAAGTGCACCGTTTGCAACGTGAATTGTAAGAGGGGTGGGGTTGTTTGTGGACACCACGTGAATCAATTAACAAAATGGACGGGACGGGTTTGGAAGAATTGGGTGGTGTACATGATTCATGCACCGCTCGCGATACAAAGTCAAATCTCGCCACTGTTGGTGCCATTGCAGCAACTACCTCGCCTGGTACACGGGAGGTCGTGAGTCCGATTCCCAGCCTGACGACACCTGCTATATATTTGTAGTTGGCATGTCTCTCTTTCTCATCATCACAGTGGCTAGGAGATGTTAACTACCTCGCCTGGTATGCAGGACGTCGTGGATTCGATCCCGACCCTGACGATGCCTGCTGCTGAATATTTGGAGTCTACGTCTCTCTTTCTCATCATGATCACGGTGGCTAGGAGATGTTAATTACCTCGCCTGGTACGCAGAAGGTCCTGGGTTTGCTCCCAACCCTGACGATGCCTGCTGATGCACATTTGGAGTTTGCGTCGCTCTGCATCACCGTGCGTCCGAGAACGCTCCGTTCTGTATGTCCGCGTACGCGAGCAGCTCTGCTGCATGCGCAGACGCTGCCCAAATGTACTACACACGTGCGGTGGTGGTGGTGGTGTTGTTTTGCAGCCGAGGACACCGAGAGCAGATGCACCATCATGCAGGACACTCGCTGTCGCTGTAGAGATGGCTTCCAGAGGGCTGCCCCGTCGGACCCCTGCACGGAAGCGAAGGGAGCCGCAGGTTCGGACGACCGGTCGCCACACCCACGCGGCTCTAACGCGCTCACGGGTCGGGGAGGGTAAGGGGGACACGCTCGGGGATCGGGAAAGCTGCGCTGGAAAGATGAACGTGATGAGAAGTATAGTGTACAGTGTAGTGTGGAGTTTAGTGTATAGTATAGTGTATAGTAGTGTAGTGTATAGTGTAGTGTATAGTAATGTAGTGTATAGTGGTGTAGTGTATAGTGGTGTAGTGTATAGTGTAGTGTAAATGAGTGCAGTTTATATTGTAGTGCATAGGAGTGGAGTGGAGGGTGTAGTGTATAGAAGTGTAGTATATAGTGTAGTGTATAGTGTCGAGTAGTATATAGTGTAGTGTAGTGTGTAGTGTAGTGTTTAGTGGAATGTATAATATAGTAGTGTAGCATAGTAGTGATGTGTAGTGCATAGTCGTGTAGTGTGTATAGTGTAGTGTATAGTTTAGTATTTAGTGTAGTGTATAGTGTAGTGTATAGTGTAGTGTAGTGTATAGTGTAGTGTATAATAGTGTAGTGTATAGTGTAGTGTATAGTAGTATAGCATGTAGTGTAGTGTATAGTAGTGTAGGGGCTTGCACGAGGAGGAGGGATCCGAGGAACTATGAAGCTCTTTGTTCACAGACGTCCCGGTGAGGCGCACGCGGTGAGCGAGTTACACGAACGAGCACACAAACACACTATAGGGGGCAGACCAGAGGACAGTCCCAGACCACACCAAGAAAACAACAACAGTCTCAGATCACACCAAGACATCAACAGTACCCTCGATAAAATTGCACATTCGAATGTAACTATCGGTGATGCACGCGTGGCCAATGATCAACGTTACAAATCAGATTTGCCAATGCGATTTGGAGCATCATGGGACCTCCCTTGCCACTATCGAAATCTAAGAAGAGGTTTTAATCTTTCTGGCAGTAAAACAGGAGGTGTGTTAAGATGTTAAAACATGTGGCCCAATAAGTTTTAAAGACAATAAGTACATTACCACAGCATGTTTTTGTTTGCATGCTCACCACAAGTATATGTGGTTAATACAGTAATTTGACTCCTTGCATAAGGTTTCTGTTTGGTGTTTTGACATCTTAACACCTGTTTTATTGCCAAAAAGGGTAAAACCTATTCTGCGATTTGTAGCGTTGATCATCCGTTGCCTATGTCGGTTTTAGAGCAGGACACCCTACCCCCAATTCGTTGCCATCTCTCGCGATCTACCAACAACAGCATCTGCTCAATTCTAAGTGGCAGTGACGTACCCACTGCGCCTGTGCCAGGCTAGGTGCACTCTTCGGGCCACGTGAGGTGTCGAAGTCTCCCGTGACCTCGTTGCTAAGTAAGAGAGAAACTGATGGCAATCGCACCGTGACAATTCACTGCAACCAGTGGTGGTTCTTAGCCTGGAGTTTCCCTTTCTGGGGGGCTGGGGGGGTGGCGGGACCTGGCCATACTTTTTTTAGAAGGTGAATCATCAAAACATACAAATTAAGCACCGGGCAAGTGAAGTTACAACTTACTTTGTTTCGTCAAATCGTATGTGTTTATTACACTACACTATACAACTACACTACTATACAACTACAATACACTACTATAAAACAATACACTACCATACAACTACACTACACTACTAGACACTACACACTACACACCATACTGCTATACAATACACACTACTATACACTACACTATACAACTACACTACTACACTACACTACTAGTCACTACACTACTAGATACTGCACTACTATACACTACACTACTATTCACTATACACTACATACCACACTACTATATACTACTGCACACTACACACCACACCACACTACTATACACTACTATACACCACACTACACATTACACTGCACACTTTCCCATTGTACACTACACTACTATACACTACACTATACACTACACACATCGCACACACACTACACTATACACTACACTGCTATACACTACACATCTATACAGTACACTATACACTACTCTACTATATGTGGACGATCCTCAGACGTTGCTGGACGTATCACCGCTGTTGTCATCGGTGCTGTCGTGATCATCATTCTACTTGTGGTGACCGTGGGCCTCCTTCTCTACAGAATTCGCCATAAACACTTTCCATGGGGTAAGTCGCGGTGGCTTGCCTGGACGATGCCTGCTGCTGTATATTTTGAGTATGCATGTCTCTTTCTCTCATCATCATCATCATCACAGTGTCGTGTGTAGTATAGTATGTAGTCGTGTATAGTGTCGTGCACATTGTAGTGTATAGTGCAGTGTGTAGTGTAGTTTGTAGTGTAGCATATAGTGTAGTTTGTCGTGTAATATATAGTGTAGTGTAAAATGTAGTGTATAGTGTAGTGTGTATTGTATTGTGTAGTATGCTACTTCAGCCCACCGGTGTATTGGAGAGTAAATCCACAACATTTACAATTTGAGTACAGTGACGTTTTGCTGGTAATTACATCAACCAGCATCATCACGGTGTAGTATGTAGTGTAGTATGTAGTGTAGTATGCAGTGTAGTGTATAGTGTATTGTGTAGTGTATAGTGGTAATTACATCAACCAGTATCATTGGGCCATTTGCCAGAATAGTAAACTTCCTTGAGTGGGTGTGATATTACACTTCACATTAACCTTTTAAGCCATATGAAGAAAAGAATAATATGATAATCATCGTGATCATCAACATAAGCCCATCACGACAGTTCTATAAGATGTAATGTATAATTCTCCAACATATATATCCAACAATGCTGTATAATTATACATTATTATAATAATGTATTTTTCTCTCTTATATAGGAAGAAATCCTGTTACAAGTGAGAACATAGCTTTGAATAATGGAGAGCGTTTGAATGTAAGTCATTCCACCTCGCCAAGTCTGTGAGCTGACCAAAAATCACTCCTGTTATTGGTGTCACTGCTGAATGAGAACATCAGCAGATCGCGTGAGTCGCCAGGGTCATTTGCCCGTCCTGTATCGCGATGGTCAGCGTGGGTCGGTGAAGCATTAGCCGTGGCAGCACTCGTATTTATAATCAGCAGCAACCGGTCCATGTTGACTCTCCAACGAGGTCCCTTCAGATGTTCGGATCGCCTTATTTCTAAGGACTCTGAGGTCAAGGCTCTGATCCTGGGGTGATCAGGCCTAGTGAGTGGATGTGTGTGTGGTTGAGTGGGTGACTGGTTGACAAAGGCGGTCGGGCGTGGTGCTGGCCACCCACCCCCTCGTTCGTGTACCGTTCCGGCCTTCATAGGTGCTCGCTAACAGCGCTTGCTCCTACAGTCTGTTAAGGCTATACGGGGGATTTTATCTTTGACTGGTTGAGTGACTGGGTGAGTGAATGGGTCAGCGAGTGAGTGGTTGAGTGAGTGAGTGGTTGAGTGAGTGGGTGAGTGCGTGAGTGAGTGGGTTAGTTAGTGAGTGAATGGGTGTGTGGTTGAGTGAGTGAATGGTTGAGTGAGTGCGTGAGTGGGTTAGTTAGTGAGTGAATGGGTGTGTGGTTGAGTGAGTGAATGGTTGAGTGAGTGCGTGAGTGGGTTAGTTCGTGAGTGAATAGGTGTGTGGTTGAGTGGTTGAGTGAGTGAGTGGCTGAGTGGGTAAATCAGGATTTACCCACCTAATTCTGGCCATCTACCCTGCATGTTCTGTATGTTTCCTGTTTTCCATACACGGGGTTGCATCGGGATTTATGGAGTAAATGCGCCACTTCATGTGTAGTGTTAATACTCACACGATTCTGGGGTAAAAACACCCACGGGATCCCAGGTTACTGTTACAGATGACGTCACGGACGAAGGGAAAGAGGAGGCGGGGCGTGAGAGAGAGGGAACGCCCACGAGGGAAGTTGTGACGTCACCGCATGAGGCGCGGCGATGGGGGGCGTCTTTCCGGCGGAGTTTGGAGGTGAGTGGTCCGCACCTGGGGTGAGCTCGTGTGGAAAACAAAGAGGATCTGTGTCGACTCAACATTCGGCTGGTGGACTTATTCCACGTGGAATGTATTAGCATTGCCTACTTTTAAAAGGCAGTTAGCCTTCGTTGTTCATTCCGTTAATATCCAATTAAAAACATGTTTAGCTAAAACGTGCGGTTGTATTTTCCTGTATAATCAAAGTACACGCCATATCTTCACGCGAGCATCTTTCCTGTCACGGTGTGTTCAGTGATGATGGAGCTATGCCACGCAAGTGGCAGCTGATCACTTTGTGTGTTTGACCGGTGGTTCTCGAAACTGGTAATAAAAAAACAGTCTGCCATGCGGTAGCTACAATACACAGCAGCAATGTAAGATCAACGTTTACCAAAACGTTTGGAACCAAAAACTAATCCTTCAAAAAATTACATATGAACCTTACGGTTCATATGTAAATTTAAAATTGACTACGGCAATTTTAAATTTCGAGGTTACTACTGCATGTAGAATGCATATTAATTATGAAGTGCCTTGATTGCAATTGAAAAGTTTCTATTTTTTGTTATCATTTACTCCCACCCCCCCTTTTCATACACTTGCAGCCGTTGAGAAATTCGCTGCGCAGTAGTGTCTCCAGTCATGATGAAGTGAATGTAAGTCATTCCACGTTACTAAGACTATCCTACTCTCTTGTTGTGTTTTTCATTATGGCGGTAAGCGTGCAAGCCCTAACACAACGGGTCCATGGTTTTCTGGAGGAAGCTGGGGGGGAAGCTGGGGGGGACAGGGGAGGAGTGGAAGGGGACTTTAGGTGCTTGAAGTGTTGTCTAGGTGCGGGGAAGGAATTCTCGGTGTCCATCCCTTGAAGTTGTTTTCTGATGGTGGTGTAGAGTGGTTGCTGTTATATATATAAATGGATGGGGGGTGGAGAAATTGTTCAGCATTCTAGGGGGAGATCAGTTGTGGAGAGAGTGGAGAGGTTTTCCGTACCTGGGCATTCCATGGCTGTACCGGAGGAATTCCCATCTGGTAAAGGTAAAATTGGAGGCTGATCGATGCTCGGGTGCAGTCGAGGGCTGGCTCCTTATTGGTCAGCCGTGTTGTGAGAGATGATGATCTGACGATTGCTGCTCACTCACTTGACGTGCCTTTACTCTAACAGAGCGCAGAGGATTTCATCAGTCAAATGATCGCATATGACAAAAAATGCAACTGGAAGGACGTCGAGAGGGAGTTGCCAGAGTTGCGAGAGTGGATCGGCAAAACTCCCTCCCTTTTCCTGCACGAGCTTAAGAGGAGAAATGTGGTTACGGAACAGGAGTACTGGAGGGCATTTACAATTCCCGACGCCACCAAGCGCGTGGACTCAATCCTGTTGCCCGTCATGAGACGAGGGGACAGAAAACGCCGAAAGCTGCTGGAGATACTTGAAGAACAGCGGAGCAGGGAACAGAATTTCCTGGACATGCTGAAGACGAGCCGTGCGTAGACTTTACACACTCGTCAGCGTTGCAATCCATGAAACGGAGCCTTTTTTTTCTTTTCCGGCCAGAGGACTTCATAATAATACGCTTTAATAAAGCTACATTTACGCGAATTATGTCTCCACAGCACTTTACAAATCCTATTATATATATCAATTACCGATCATATGAACTACCTTAGAAAGTTAAATAATAGTAATAAAATACATAAATTTTACCAAAACTAAAGAGACACAAACAACAACGACAAAAAAGTTATCACAACAGAGAAATGAGTCCACTAAGTCTCAGCATCGCAGTCCCACAGTCCAAACGTCTCTCTCAGGCAGGAAATCCTTCACAGGAAGGGCAATGGTGGAGTGGCCAAAAATAGTTGTGACTAATTTAGGCCGATCTCAGTGGACACTGGATACATATCATAGTCATCGCCTTTTCATCATCATCATCAGCCAAGGTTAACTAACTGTTGGATGAAGACCTCCCCAAGCCTCCAATACCTCTCACGACCCTGCTATGCAACGATCCACTTAGCACTCGCTCGCTAGCTGATTTAATCGCCCGCAGTAGCTCCATGCGTATATAAACATACATCCGCAATTCGATGTAGCTTCGGGAAATGCAATAGTTTGAATACATTTATGAAAAAGTAAGCGTAGTATTCCTCAATTGTCTGATTGCATTCCGGGGAGCCTCGGGAATCAATGTTTGAACAACACGGAACGGCACCACGTGCTCCGATGCTGCCGCAGTGTAAAGGTTTGGTACACGAGGAGGCAATACTGCTGGCTACAGCATAATGAGTGATCACTGGTAGTTGAGTAAAGTAAACTAAAACAATTTTTTTTTAACTAAGCTATTTAATTTTACTGGATGAAGCCCTCTGAGCTGCTATGTAGTAGTTCTTTTTCAGAAGCGACCTGGCCACAAATAACAGCTCAAGGAAGTGGATTATCCATGATCACCATGTGGTCATTCATAGTAGAAGCCAAATACTCTGAACTGAGCTATCTAACTATTTTTCAGAAGCGAGCTGGCCATCACAAATGATAGATCAACCAAGTAGCTGATATCATCATCACGTGGAAATTTATCGCAGCCTAATGCTCTAAATGCGTAAATGTGGAGAAAATCCACGGGGAGAGAGAGACATAAACAGACTACAAATATAAATTAGGAGTCAGGGTCAGGATTAAACACGCGACCTCATGCATACCAGGCGAGGTAGTTACCATCTCCTAGCCACTGTGGCATTTGTAACCAGCTGGGAAGGGAGGGCCAAATAACCTCAAGAAGGGGGCTCTAAAGCTGCTTCTAGTCGAGAGCCTTCCACCAGCAGTGGCATGGGCAAGATATTGCCAGGTGCAGCTTTGCCTCTCATGGCGACCCCTTAATCATGACTGACGATAATGAGCATTAAACTGAGTCTTGATTGTGGATATTTACTTGATGATTTGCTTATCTTGCAGATGTGTGCTCGCCCACTCTGAACCCAAACTCGGCACATCGACAGCTTCAAATTTCTGCCGATCTCAGCACAGTGACGTGGAACCGGGAAGAGCAGCCTTACTCTGATCACGCAGAGAGGTTTGAGTGGTGGGAAATAGTCCTCTGCTTCGAGACCTTCTCGTCGGGTGACCACTACTGGGAAGTGGACGTGAGAGCCTCGGAAAACTGTTCAATAGGCGTCGCACATGGGTCGATTGCAAGGAATTGTCAAGAAAAGTCTGGCAGGCTGGGCTGGAACGAGTTCTCTTGGGCGTTCATTCAATGGGATTTTAATTTCAAAGCAGCACATCACAAACAACGCAAAACCATTACAGGTGTTCAGCATTTGCAGAGAGTCGGCGTTCGCTTGGACTTTAACGCAGGAAAGCTTTCGTTTTACAACGCCAGCACCATGGAGCTGTTGCATTCATTCGACGACATTCCAAGTGGGCCGCTCTATCCGGCTATGCAGGTGAAGTCGGGCTCAGTCGCGATTTACGAAGGTGAGTACAAGGGCGTGTCACGCATAGGGAACCCTTGGCACTTACTTGGAGTGTATTCATATCCAGAAGGAAAAACGAATCAGAATCGTCGCCACCGAGTGTGCATGCAGATGATGTAGCCACAGCGGTAGAGCACGTGAACATCCCCTTTGTCAATCCACTGCTGGCTGAGTGCCCACCTACTTCCTATGGGTGGGTCGTGAAGGGTATTTGGCGCAATCTTCACCTGCTATGTCAGTGTGCAGCAGGGGTAGTGAAGGCGAGGGAGTCTAGACGCGAGGTCATAGCAGTAGAGTGTGGAGCTGGGAGCGAGAGTATCTCCGAGCTCTGTGTTTCTGCAGAACGTAAACACAGCGGTGGTTCCTGAAACACTGCAACAGTGTTCGTGTCACCGCTTGGGAAGCGAACATGGCAGATGGTCTCATTCTGAAACAAACAAACAACTACAACGACATCCAATTGTCTGAAATTTCGTATCCAGGCTTTATTTTCGGATTTTCTCATTTTTAAAATGTAGTCTAAAAATCGGGAACACAGATGCCGAATGATGACCACTGAAATTAAGCAAAAATCCAAAAAGTGCATAATGGGATAGAGAAGGTGGCTGTTCGAAATTATACTGGGAGATATCAATAGAATGTACAAAGCAAAGAGTGGTTGTGGACACATTGATAAAAGCAGTGGTGGCCGTTGGTGACAGAGACGAGATGGAGTGATATCAGTTAACGTGCAGAAATATTTTGTGGGAGTGAAATGATTTGTCAGTACAGGGCCATAATTAATGGTCGTGGCTTGGGGTGACCTCCCAATGATGAATTAAACATAACGTATGATGATGATAATAATAATCGTGACGAAGGTATTGATTGCAATTTTAGAACTAATTTTTTTTGTTTATTCTTACAAATATTTTAATAGCTCAATTATTCAAGAACCTGAATGTGGATGAGAGCAGAGAAGACATTCAGATTTTTTATCACTTTGCAAATGGTGAATTTAATCTAACAAACAACACCGATGCAGAGAAGGGTGACAGCGAAGATGCATTGCTCAGAATGGGAACGGAGGAGCCTCTGGTGGCACGAGATTTTATCGGTAGGATCCCTGCAATGCTACACCACGAGTTGCTCATTCAGGGTTTCATCACGCAATCCGAGCTCTCAGAAGTCTATTCGATGCCCCGCGCGTCAGCACGAGCTGACTTCATCATAAGCCGCCTCGATCGCAAGCAGGAAGAGAGCCCGCAACTCCAAGAGATTCTGCGTGAACATTGTGAAAAGCAAGAGGCATTCCTGAAAATGAGGAGCGAGTCGAGTACGTGATATGCTGTACACGCCACACAATTTGCATTGCCGAGTGTATTGATGCATCATCTTTGTCGCCCATCTGTAATGCTGATGTACGATGAGGAAAGATATCCGTATGAGATATGAACCCTTAATACAGTGCAATAAGTAATCGTTTAGCACAGTAGATGCGTTGCTGCAAAAGCGGTCGCGTTAAGCAAAAATGCGTTCATGCATTGTGGCAGTAAACATGGAAAAAATCCACGAGTATCAGAATCTGTATCCTGGATGAGGAATCCGATGAGCTATGACGCTCTTTTTTACAGACATTCAGTAGGGACACGGGGTCAACACCAAACAATAAGTATGAAGCAGGTAACACGTAATCCGTAATCCCCGTATAGATGGATTCCAGATGAAGATTAATCCACTTGCTGTACTGTCATACCCTGGTATGGCAGCAGGTGGCGACTTCATCACCCTTGCGTAGGGAGATTCACGAATTTGTGTGATCTACCAACCCTCGCCTTTAAAGTGCTGGATTACAGGCGGCGCCATTGGTAACGACCAGACGTGTCCTGAAGCCATCAGACAGCTTGGTGGACAGTTTACTGAGAGTGAGATTGGGTCAGTCGGTTGACACATTGGGCTCTAATTGATTTGTCTTTCATAGTCAGGGCAGGAACCTAGGGCAGAAGCGTAGGAACCCCTGAGAAATACTAATCAGCTGTGTGAAGTGCAGCTCGGTACGCTAAAACTTTCAGCAAATGTTTGTACTTCTTACTGACATATTGCAAAGTTTATTTCTCAAAAGTATACGATGTTCGCTTAACACAATATTTGTATTATCGTTTACAGACACTTGCTCGCCGACTCTGAACCCAAACACGGCACATCGGAACCTCCATATTTCTGCCGACTTGAAAACCGTCAGGACTTCCTCACGCACCCAACCTTACCCTGACAACTCAGGAAGGTTTGACCACTACCAAGTGGTCATTTGCTCTGAGAAATTCTCATCGGGTTGCCACTACTGGGAGGTGGACGTGAGAGGTTGTAAGAAATTCATCATCGGTGTCACATATGACACGATACCACGGAAAGGTGATGACAAAGCCTGTAAAATTGGGTTCAATGAAGTTTCGTGGAGCCTTAAGAAATGGAATAACGACTACACGACGCTACATAACGAGACAGAAAAAAACCTGTCGGTGCGAGATGCTCCCAAAAGAGTTGGGGTTCACCTGGACTGGGAGGCGGGCGTCTTGTCATTCTACAGCGCCGACTCCATGTCGCTGCTGCATCGATTTCAAGTAAATTTTTATCGAGAGCTGTACCCTGCAATGGCCGTGCTGCGTGAAAGTCTCTCAATATGCCCGTTGCCGTACGCAGACGCTCGCTGTTAGAGATGAGAGGCGCCTATCAGAGCGGACGTCCATGCGACTCTGTATGTATGTAGAGTAACTCCCTGGCCAACCGCGAGGGTTCAGGTTCCTGAAAAACCTCTAGGTTGGTAAAGTTACAGGGGGCCTATGGGTAGTAGTGGGGTAGGGGAACCATAGCGTGTGGTTAGACTCGTCATAGTTAAAATACGTTGCCTGTTTATTAACTAAACTATATTACATAATAAAAAAATAAACACGGACATTAACTTTACATACCCTTTAATATTAGCGATGATTAAAATTAAGAAGTATTAACGATCTTGATTTGAAGCTTTCGTGACTGCAGGAATCCATACTCTTTGGTTCTTTCGGTAAAGTCACGTAGTTATAAATAAAATAATATGAAATAAAACAAATCACGACGTTTCCATCGCAACACAACCAATCCTCATCAGACTCGCCACAGCTGTTTAAAATTAAGAAGTATTAACGACGATGATGACGATGACCATGAGATGATGGGGGGGAGGGCTGGTTAGAAGGAGGAGAGGCTCAACCCAGCCACGCCGTCTTCCCCTGGGCCACAGACTCAACACCCTAAAACTCTTACCACTCGCTGCACGCTTGGGTCAATAATTAAGGGCAAAATGAATGTGCACCATGGAGTACTGTACAACAAAACAGACGGCCAGCTGATCAGTTGAACAGCGCCACGGCCCCACGGAATTTGTTTTACATTTCGCGGCAGAGCATACAAAACATCTGTATTGATGTCAGGTTTTGACATATTTTTCCTTAACGATTTTACTTAACTTGATTCCTCTGTCGTGGTCAAATCTTGTAATCAAAATTTCGTCCTCTTCCCGTTGTCCAATCAATTCCACATTTTGCACACGTACTCACATCCGGTTGCGATGAATGCCTGTATCAAAATCGGCATAAATTAATCAATTAATTCGATACTTTAAAGCAATCTACATTTTGTATGGGACACCGTATTTTATTTAGATATTTGTGTAGGTCAAAAACGCCACGGTCCCTAAACTGTGAAATCGGCTCGCACAAAACGCAGGTGCCGCGTGTCTCAGGCGCCATTGACTTCTCGATCGTGAGTTTAACGAAGTTGTTAATATACTTGTTTTTAAAAAACTTTTTTAAACGAGTTTATTTATATTCATCTTTTCATATGGTCGATCATACTGCTATGTTAAGACGCTGTGTAAAATGTGTTTGTTTTATGCTTATGAATCAATGTCATGCTAATGATTGATTTTATCATGTATGCGATTCAGTGTATATACGGTATTCCGATGTCCTACTTCGTCTTTAACTTGATTTTGTGTCATATTTTGTATTAAACTCCATACAGTGAGTGCAAACAAAACCATTGCATTCCCATGGCGTACATAATCTTAAACTTGACTGTGAATGAGCAGCTACAACATGGGACCTTTTTTGTGAATATTAAAGTATGAAAAAATAACAAGAGGTTTTAACCCTTTCTGCCAATAAACCGGTCGTGTTAAGATGTCTAAACATCAAATAGAAACATTCTCCAAGGAACAGTGTCACTGCGTTAACCACACACAGGGTAATTATAGTGAACTTGCAAATATGCTGCTCGCCTTTTGGCGTTCTGTTGTCCGACACTGGTGAGACTCGGCGCTAAAGAAGTCTGCTGTCTCTGGTGTGGACCAATCCGTCTTAGAGACAATACCATTTATTATTATCAGAGCATGTTTTTGTTTGCATGTTCACCACACGTTCCGCGTGTGGTTAATGCAGACACGATTCCTAGCAAGAGGTTTCTATTTGGCGTTTGAACATCTTAACACCTACGTGACTTTACCGAAAGAACCAAGAATATGTATCTTAACACTTGTTTTATTGCCAGAAAGGGTTAAACCTGCTCTTGACTGTGAGTGTCCAATCTAATATTGAACTTCATTCAGTGATTCCGCAACCCACATTTGGTTGGAAGGAAGCACGCAGGGACATCTGCAGACTGTCAGAATCCTATCGGCTCCAGGGAGAAGGGGGGGGGGGGTACCAGACCGGTAACCAGAAACTCTGGAATGGGTTTCATGTGGAACGACTTCGCTCGGCAGAGCTTGGCACAAATCTGGCGAGCCCCAAACTACGGTCCAGGAGCTCCCTCACTTAAACTCATCCAGTTGCAAACGACCGAACTTGAGAGGCACTCACCCCAGGCCAATGTGCAGCAGATTGGACTTTCAAAAAGTAGCCCAGGGGCCTCTGGTTGGCGAAAAGAGGACTCGATGATGGGTCCGGGAGGCGGAGGGGGGTGGATTGACCATAAGGGAAATATTTGAACCGAGAATAAAAATCTGGAAACGCAGTCGAGCCGGGAGGTGATGGAAAGTTATTTAAAGGTGGCTCCGAGGAGCATGAAAGGGGGTAGAGCACGAGGAGTGGGGGATGCTCGAGGGAAGGGGAAACTCCGCGGAGTATAGAACCAAGTCCGGGCCGCGTGCAGGTCACTCTGTGACTTCAATAAAGAGACTCCGAGTACCCAGCCGTCGGTGTCACTTCACACAGACCAACGAAAACGTGGGCGAAATGTATGAAGGTGTCACCGGACTGCCGGCACAACGCAAATCTATCACCCACGCTGCCCAGACATTGAGAAACTTTACCGTGATGTCATAATGTTTTTTTGGGGTTTTCAATAAAAATGTGAGGCACCTACCTTGGGCCCGTCAACAGATAGAGGAGAAACCGCGATTCCCCTTCCAGTCGTGGATTCATTCAATGAACTGAGATAGCCAACGACTATCCCGTAGCGCAATATCTAGCAGAGACGGCAGCGACGAAGGCAACGAGACGAGTCCACTCCCAGAACCAGCAGCCTCGAGCCCCGCGCTCTGGTCTCCTTTTATTCTACTAACGTGACCTGGCTCCGCCCTGACCGCACCTCCCTTCTCTCGAACCCGCTATTAGGTTCCAGGGGCCTCCAGATGGGGTCCTCTGTGACCCTTGCCCTAGTTCTTCCGCTCTGCCAACAAGCACCGTGCTCACGCCCTCACCGGCGTGTGCGCTGTATGTCCACCACAGTTGCTGCTGCGGTCCACCAGTCGGCACTATTACACTACGTATGTACGTTGAACTAATTTTGGTGTCGTACGTAGCCAACCGTGGCTAATTGGTCGGTGCGGGAGGAAGGACAACAACACTGAACATTAACACGCTAAATAGGTCTATCATTCATCTTCTTTAAATATATTTTTAAATAGCCTTTTCTGAAATATTTTTAAAGAGAATGGAGACACCCGAACTGGAGTTGCCCAAATCCCTGACTGGTGTCACTGTCGTGCTTGATAATGACAACAACAAACACAACTCTACAAAGTACGAGTTGAGATTTCAGAATGTTTTCCACGGACAGATAAATAGGCAGACAAACAGGCAGAGAGACAGGCAGAGAGACAGGCAGACAAACAGACAGATGGACAAACACGGAGGCGTGGAGTTGATTCACAACAACAACAAAACGCAGACGTGATGGGTAACTTCACTTCACATGTTATGCCTGCGACAAAGATCTCACGTGTAGCCTTATACAGACTCGTTGCGTGCTGTGAGCGAGCAGACACACATACGCAACGACACACACAGATACACAAAGACCAACATACCCCGTGTAGCCTTTAACAGACTTGTAGAGGGCAAGTGCTGTTAGGAGCGAGTCGCAGCACCTATGAAGGCTACCGCCACTGTGGGACACACGCGGGGTTGGGTGACCACTAGGTTTGGAGAAAATATCTAGATTGGGAGAAAATATCTAACTGCGATTTTTCTGACAGATGTTGCGATTGCGATTTGATTTGCGATAAAAACAAATGTAAGTCAAGCTTCAGTTCAATATTGACTGTGTAATAGATTTAAAACGTGTGATGGAGCATTACCACATGGTAACATCAAAATATGAACTGCTCTATATATTATAATGCAAGGATGAGAACTTAAAATATAATAATTGCTTCCAACACGTATTTATTAAAATGTTTTAATTGAAATAGAAGCATCAAACATAGAACAATTGTTAAGCTAAATACATACAATTATAATCAAAAACATAATTATAATAAGAAAGTAATAGGACTTTTCAAATCGCAGAAAAATCGCAGCCTTTGAAATATGCTAATAGCATTATTTCAAATTGCGATTTCGATTTGAAATCGATTCATCGTTGAGCCCTAATGACCACAGCCACCACGCCCGGCCGCAATTGCCTCCCCAGTGGCGATGTTTACCACACACCACCGCACCGGATACTCATTTTGAGGCTGAGTCGACCTAAGGAGGGGGAGGAGGCTCACTCGGAACGGGTCAGATAATTGCTGTCACTGGTCGTGGTGGACGTGAACGGCAATCGAACTCGGGTTCCCGGGTTCGTAACGAAGTGCGTTAACTGCTACTCCACCGCCCCCTCAAATCCACACACATGCAGGCACACACAGAGACACACAGACACACACACACAGGCACACAGCCACAGACAACAACAACCGCCATTCGCCACTACGTGACGGTGATGTCACCACGACGCTTGTGCCAGGCTAGGTGCACGCCAAGGCCACGTGAAGTGTCAAACGCCCGCTAGCAAGAGGAGGTCACGGGGCAGACCCAGCAGGTGCCACGGGTCGACTGACTGAAATGACTGACCGATGCACCACCTGTGCCCCCTACCGTGCCAACTTGCTGCGTTTAATCACCCGGCGCTCCGCTCATTGTTGTGAGCGTCGCTCCTCTGCCCTCTGCTGGAGTTTCTGGAGGGCGACTGCCTCCAAATTCCCCAGTCGCTTCCTCAACGTGCACTTAGCCTGGCACTACCTATTGGCGTTCTTCACGAGCCTCCTCCACAGAGGGCGCTCTTGACACTGCTTGTAACCGGTAACCCGGGACAGGTGACTATAAACAATCTACTAGCAGAAGTACCCGGCGTTGCCCGGGTGAAAAATATATTTGTTAATAACCTTACATATATACACAGATGGGCTGCTACCCCTGCCCCCCCTAGCCACGATCTCCTCGGCCGCTGTGCAGTAATATGTACGGCCTATAGTGTGGTGGGGTGTCGAGGCCTAGTAGCGTGCAGAGCCTCCGGTCTCGCCTAAATTGCCCACCCGGCTGAGGCTGGGTACCGGGGCCGTTACCCCCCCCCCCCCGCGCTACAATAATACTGTGTAATCACTGTAATTGTATTATCTACCGACCCTATAATAGTAATTGCACACATTGGGGTGGCGGGGGAGTGAAGAGGACGTGAAACTTTGATGAATTTACCTCAGAGTCGTGTGGTGGGTGTCGAGGCCTAGTACCGTTCAGAGCCTCCGGCCTCGCCTAAATTGCCCACCCGGCTGAGGCTGGGTACGGGTGCCGTTCCCCCCCCCCCCCCCCCCCGCGCTACAATAATACTGTCTAATCGCTATAATTTTATAATCTACCGACCCTATAATAGTAATTGCACACATTGTGGTGGGGGGGGAGTGAAGAGGACGTGAAACTTTGATGAATTTACCTCAGAGTCGCGTGTTAATGCGTGCGCCTATTTTTAACGGGAATTAAAAATGGCGTCCACCCCGCGGCGAATGCGTCGCTACCCGTTGCCAGGGGCAACCGCCGGACCAATCGTGTCTCGCAAATCCCTGACATTTCGTCCAATGAAACTGCGTATGGTCCGATACACAGACACACACACAGACAGACGGACAGACAGACAGATTTGCGATTTTATATATATAGATAAACTATTATTTGGTTCTTTCGGTAAAGTCATGTAGATCGAAAAAGAAAAGTGATTAAAAAAATACGGTCTACGTTTGTGTTTTTTTAAATTTCTATCTACGTGACTTTAACGGAAAAAAAGAATATGAATTCCTTCAGTCACGAAAGTTTTAAGTCAAAATGTAATCTATAAACTAATTACTAAGCTATTATTATGTTACCAGGTAAGAACCTGCTGTGCTACGTCATCATCATCATCGTCATCGTCGCGGAAACAGCGGCAGACAAAGACTCTGGACGCGTGGTGACGTTGATCGTAAATGTGGAGGGGGAAACCGGGAGGACCCGGAGAAAAATTCCACGCGATCACTGAGAGAGAAACGCGGACTCCGCATATACAGCAGCAGGCATCGTCAGGGTTGGGATCGAAGCCACGACCTTCTGTATACCAGCCGAGGGAGTTAACATCTCACCAACGTGATAGTGATGATGAGAGAGGGAGACACACACACAGACTTCACGTTGACAACAGGCATCGTCAGGGTCGAACCCACAACCTCCTGTATACCAGGCGAGGTAGTCAACATCTCATAGCCACCGTGATGATGAGAGAGAGAGAGAAAGACGAAGACTACAACT